AGGAGCCTACTGTCAATGAGTATAAACAAAGAAGCAAAGAAAAGTAGACTGTGAAACTAACTCAGGAATAGCAGTTTTGTGTCTCAAAATTCAAAACGTACAGAATAAAAAAATTAAATGCATTGAATGTAAATCAGACTTCAGAAGATATTCATTATTATATACTTGATATTTTTTGCTGCTTTTTTCTTTGTCCCTGCTTCTCACTTCTGATTTCTGCCGTTTTAACAGTTATAAAAATGCTTGAGGAGGTCGCGAAAGTGGCTATTCACTTCTCCTGAATATCAAAATTCAACTAATTCAAATACTTTCCTTTTCTCGTTCTTAAGATTTCCTTTATCAAGAAACAGCGGGGAAGAAGTCCTTATAACGGATGTCAGACATTCCGACTTATCAATATCATTTCCTATCATTTCCTCATGACCTTTCTGATTTAATATTTATAAGATAATATGACGAAATTTAATGCCCGCTTCACAGATAAAAAGGCTTTTATATAGAGGCTTTAATAAATGTCTGCTTTCTTCAATGCGAAAAGCACACCCACAAATTGTTCATTATCAAGCATTAGATCGATTATTGTTTGTCCTTGTAACGACGTTTTTTACAAGGGTTCATTATTTGTTTTAACGCGGCACCCGAGTTCCTCTTGCCTTAAGTTACAGAAAATTACTACTCCACATAGGATTTCCTCCCTAAGAAGAAAGTCAACCGTGACTGGGTGGCAATAGTTGCCCGTTTTTCCTATACAAATCCTTCTAATTTTCGGCGGTCATTGCCACCACTACTTTTGAGGTTACCTTATTTTAATATGCTCTTTCAGTTCCTGTCTACAGTATTTCTCCAAAGCGAATCGTTTTCATGTTTCCAGAAAGGCCTATATTTGGATATTCCACTGACTTCCCGGATGAACGGTCTTAAACTGATTACTGAGAGGTGAATCGTCTAAGGTTTTAACTCATTACTTTACAAAGAACAATGGCAATCTTATTCAAACCTTGGAGTCTATAGTTATCACAGACTCGAAAGCGGTAATCGGTGAAAAAATACGCAGACATTTCCACCCCCCTCCCCCCCCTGCTACCTAATAAATTCAAACCATTGTTTATAGCTGTTACCCTAAAGTGCTTAGGCTGATCATACTCTAGAACACTGATTTAAATCTTTGCTGTCTTCCCGGCATACGTCTTTCTCATGTCTATTTGTTATATAGCTGGAATTTTTTCACCATCTCATTGGTTATTTCAAGGTCACATGACTTCTAACAGGAGCCCATCAATTTGATGGGCTCCTGCTTCTAACCATTCCCGCCGAAATTCTCTTTTTAGCTGAACAGGTAACATTCCAAAATCTATGATGTTAGAGGGTAACAGAGCACTGTTTCTCACAAATTATGACCGCTTTTTGAGATTACTTTAATAGATTTGTACGAGTTGTATTTTTTTTTTTTCGCTCAATCATTGATTTCTCGCGAAACAAAGTTAATTTTTTTTGCCTCGAGACCAGTTTTATAACGCAACAATTTCCTGTTGGAAAAATGCTGCAGTTTCTCATCTTACAAAGAAAAGGCATGGAACACTTGGTGACCTGTTGGAGGCGATAGTTGGTGTTCTTTTTAGTTGTGACGTGCGCGTCAATCTTACCACACCGTACTGTGCTTTTAGTACCTGTGTTATACATTGAGGCAGGAACACCTTTATCAGCTGGAGAAAGAGAAGATTATATAATATTATCGCGAGTGTTTGCACTACGAGTGAAATCTTAATTTGAGTTCCGGGCGTGGGCGAGCACGTGGCGCGGGCGATTTTAGGGGAACAAGTGTCATTTTTTGCTAGGACTTGTGGCGTCGCCAGTACACGCTCTGAAAAACACATCTGTCAAATCCACTGAAAACGTGACGCGACTGTTAATGCTGGCAGTTCTGAGGGTCTTTGTGTGCTTTGCTTTGTGATGTCTTTCTTAGCTTGGGCAAATCACGGCAATTTTCCTTCTTGTCGTTTCTAACCATCTTGATACCCACCCAAATGTCTTTACCGTGTTTCATCAGGTTGCCCGTTAAAATTCGTCGCTCGCAACCACGGCCACCCGGCTCTGCACGCACGTGCAAAGTCAGCCACTCACCAGTAAACTCACGCAGGTTTGAGAGTAATGTCACCAAAACACGTGACGTACCTGAAAGAGGCCATCCTTGTTTCAGCCTAAAATTCCTCTACTGCAAGACTTATAAATTTGATAGCTACCATTTAGCTGCACTCTGTGCTACTGGGAACAACACTTGCTGACTAGAAGTCGGGTCTAAACAATTCAGTTTTCTTTATTAAAATATGCAGCTTGGAGGAGGGATAGTATTGTTTGTTGATTGTTGGCTCGTTGAGGAGACCACTGGTCGCCTTGTAAAATATTAGTAAACGTGGCATGATATTCTGCAAGATTCATGGCAATAAAGCAAATTTCTGTATAACTAGGTATTTTTTACGACTTTACTTGTAAACGAATTATGTGCCATAACATATAATGAGTACTTTACGGCAAATTTTACTCATTCACAATGAGAATTGTAATCAACGTTTTTTAGTCACCTTGGAAAAATACACGAAACGGATTTCAAAACATCTGAAAGTCCGAAGTTCTCATGTTTAAAATAAACTATAGGAGTAAAAATAACATTTTTCTAGCTGATGGATAAACATGGGTGACCTTTATTCTGAGCCAAAATACGTTTAATATCCATTGCCAAAAAGTCCGACAAAATTAAGCTGGCATTAGTTTGACAACTGGCAAATCCCTTCTCAAAGTTTTTATCTATTTTTGATTACCGTAAGATTGTTTTACGGCGTCACGACTCATTTTATAAGCCATTTATTTCGTTCTTCTAACGTGATTAAGCCAATGAGTTAAATGATCACAAGGATATACCTAATTCAAGTTAAAGTCTAGAAAAGGACACTTAAAGTTTGAGCAAGAATTACTGTATTAGCGTCGTTGCGTGAATTTCCACCGCAATACGGTCTTAAAGTTACAAGCTTCTTAGCGCAGGTCGGCACGATAATGCGATTTAAGTTAGCTTGGGGTAGATGCTGTCCACAAATAATCTTTGAATAGTACCTCAAATGTAGCGTATATTGAGCTCGAAATATTGTCTGTCTACGAAACAGTGATCCCTTTCATTGGAAGTTTCGCGAAATTCTAGTTTTCCCAGCCAATCCTTCCGATCCGATCCGGCGAAAAAATCGCGGCTAATGATAATCTTCCTAAAGGTCGCAAGAATTCAAAACAAGGAAAATACGCGAGATGTCTGGCGATCACATGTAGCGGAATCAGTAGACCCGCCATGTAAGAAATAGCCACCCTGAAACAGTGAATTCTTACATGAAATATCCAGCTTTTATCACCAATCACCTCAACACGGTTACTTGATTCATTTTACAGTGCAGTGCACCTGGCTCTCAAGACAGGAATTTGCCTGATAGCTGATGTGTTTATCGCGAGAAGAATTAAACCCATTAAAGCCAGTATTCAAGTGCCTGTTCTTTCATTCTAGTCACGTACAATTACTCAGTGCTTCAAAACACGAATACAAGTTACTTTATCCTAAAACAAGGCATCAGACATTCAAAAAATATATCACTGTTATTCACAAGAAGCCATATTTCTTTTGTTTGTTCTTTGGAAGGGACACTAAAGTTTTAGTGAGCTACTTTGTTACTTTGGCGAGCGAATATCTCGTCAGAAGACCGGATGAGGCAATGCCAGGAATGGCTTTTATTAGTAAATGGCAGTATTGTTTAACTTAGCCTCAATGACGGCCTTCGAATAAACAAGTTGCAAGTTTGGACGGTTTAAAAAGGAAGAGTTTTAAAGAAAGCATTATCAGAAGCTTGTTATCAAAATTCAATTCTTCATCGAGGCGAAAAGCGAGACATTGATTAACAAGCGTGTGATACGACAGCCTTGTTAATTAGTGGGTTGTTTCGCGACCGCAACTAAATCTTTTGTTATTTTTTTTAGTTCGTTAAGTGCTTTGTCATATAAAAGGAAAAAAGATGAACATCTAGATACTCCTGTAGTTCACTAATTGCTTCTATGTGTCGCAATCGGTTTTCAATGTTAGCGCTTTTAACGAGTCTTTCTAGTTCAAACAGTCGAACGAGTTTGTCACTTAAAACAACAGCAACACAAGCTAAGAGAGTACTTGTTCTTCATGAAATTGTTTCTTATTTAATGTAAACTGGAATGCAAGTTATCTTAAAATAAATCCTACAACAAACATAGACAGTTTATGATACAATCATACTAAAAATAATCTCTTTTTTCAAATATTCAGCGAGAGAAAGTTCTGTTTACAAGTCTCGCTAATGTGGACCGTGCCCTACTGAATGATTTCGCGCTAATGGCCACTAGCTTGATGTTCCCTTTGGGACCTTCAATTAGCGTCGTAATTAGACTATTGAAAAAGATGGCCAACGTTTCTCTGCATATCTACAAAAAATCTACAATCAGCTTTGCAAATTCTTCGGTCAGCTGTTCACCACTAAAAAGCGGGATTTGCGATCATGACAGATGTCCCAATTTTTGGATCTAAGTTGAATAGGACGGCAAAGACGCCGGCCAAGAAAATGTTTCTCATTAAAAGCGTAGCTTTACGACGCGTTTAACGCATTCACAACTGAGAGCTACAGCCATTAGCTTATGTAAATTTTACTTGTCTGTTAACTCATGAATGTTTAACTCGACGTGGAAACGTGGTTGATGTTTTTAGGTCAATAGTTATTTTTTTAAACAGTTTCATAATTCCGGAAGGATTAAGCTCCGTGTGTCTTGTGTGTTTGGCAGTTTTAGCTTCTTCAACAGGCGCATGTTTCACATAGTCGGTACTTCACGGCCCAATAATCCGATATTGTGTATTCAAAGAGAGCCTTTTATTACGGTATGCGTTTTCAAGCGAGTGGGCTGGCAGGTCTTAAATATTTCTTATTAAAACAAACATTGACTAAGTCTGTTCAAACAGTCGCCGTCACAGTCAGCGTTGGAACCTTTTCCCTTCGAGCTTGCGAAAGGCCGAATAGACGATGTAAGAATTTTTTCCAAGATTCTATTGTCTTTCCAGACCAGATCCAAAACCCTGACGTTATTCCGACGACCAGAGCCATAAAGTACTTTATAATAAACACAGAGTGGTCGGGTCGAACTTGTTTCTGCCCACTGCAGTCTTTACATATCGCCGATCGTTCCCAACTTTCCCTGTTGGCAAATTCGTAAAAGTAACAAGCCACAACAATGGTCGCTGGGACAGTATATAAAACCGAGAAAACTCCAATGCGAATCATAAGTTTTTCTAATTTGTCGGTTTTGATCAGTTTATCAGACTGCATGCGTAAAATTTTCCGAATGCGAATCAATGAGTAAAAACCTGCCATTAGGAAGGAAGTTCCGAACACGAGGTATATAACCAGCGGGACTACGACGAAAATAATTAGACTTCGGAGGTTGTGATTTCCAACAAAACAGATCCCGCTAACAGGATCGCCGTCTACCGTAGACATAGCAAGAACTGCTATCGTCTGAATAGCCGGAACGAGCCAAGCAGCGACGTGAAAATACTGTGAATAGTTCGTTATAGCCTCTGTTGACCATTTCATACCAGCGGATAGAAACCAGGTAAACGATAGTACGACCCACCACAGCGAAGAAGCCATGCCAAAGAAGTAAATTAGTAGAAAGACGATGGTGCACGGAGCTGGTCCTGATGTTTCGTAGCGCATTAAACCTTGGGAATCACAAGCAACGGTTTTGTATCCAGCCAAGAAACGAATTATGTAACCAATAGCCACGAAACAGTAACAGAACGAAAGAAAGATGATCGGTCGCTCAGGGTATTTGAAGCGGTGCATGTCGATAAGGAACGTCAACGAAGTCACAAGGGTTGATATAAAACACAGAACAGCCCACAAACCGATCCAGAACGACGCGAAGTTTTCCTGATCCGCGGTGAAATACGTTCCGTTGCAGGGCATCACACAGCTTGATACACCCCCCGTTGAAACGTCCCGTAAAGTCTGTTTGAATCGTTCGTCCTTGACTGATACAAACGGAGCCCTGCACGAACAACAATTGCCATGATGGTGACTTTCTTTCACAGCATTCACATGCGGTGTAGCGGTGTTCGTCGGTTCGGTAACAAGAGGCGTACGCGATTTTGTTTTGGTTGACGTTTGGTTGGTGTCGGTTGCGTTACGACCCATACATAATTTGTTGCCCCCGAGCTGGGGAAAATTTTCACATTTCATCCTTTCGGGCCACGAAAAGCCATACTGGCGCATCAGAGGCGCGCAACCAGTCCTCGCTCTTTCGCAAATCGAACGACACGGGGGAACATCATTATTAAAGTTCGGCTGGCACATTGGAGCATACATGGAGCAGAGAAAGAACTTCAGATCCGGCGAACATTTGATTTCGACCAAAGGCCAAAACTGGTGGACTTCCAGCGCTGCTTCCTCCTGCGTGTCGTGATTAAACATATTTGGCATAGAAGTTAAGTTGTAGCCAATGCTCTGGCACATGGGGATTTTGATTTTTTCGCATTTCCTTTCTTTGCTAGAAACGAAACAGAACACAGTCAAGAAGAGCCACGCTAAATACACGCTGTTGTGTGTTACAGCCATTACGTTGGCTTGCTATTCTGAAAGTGAATTCATTCTGGTCTTAGCGAGGTGTTTTGTAAGTGCTTAGACGATTGCATGTCGCCCTTGTCATTAGATTAGCAATATTGACAGATTCATACGGTGACCAATCAGCGAGCGAAGCTCTCTCATTAGTGAATTGTGACATGTAATTCGCACATCTCTGAATAGAACCTTTAAGCCAAGGCCATTAGCGAAAGAAACGCAATTCCTTGGAAATTAGCGCTTCATCAGGCCTATTCTCCACGGTTCATCTGGCTTTGTTGTAAAATTTCCACAAAAGATCTCTTTTTGTATATGGCATCCTACTGAGGCGTCGTTTGATCTCCTGTCTATAAGCTGCTTTGACGTTTGCCTTACTTGGTGCGCTGTAAGATGTTTGCCCACTAAACAGAATGCAAATATTCTAAAGGCTTAAGCTTAGCAAATATTTGCTCACGGATTATTGGCTGGATATTTTGAGATCTGCATATCTTTTCTCGCACCTACTATTATACTGCATCACGCCTCTTGGGCCATTAACACACCAAGATAGCAAAGCGATGACAGTCGAACAAAAGACATGGGCTGTAGGTCACCGATAAAGAGTTACCACACCTTCCTAAACAATATCATTCGAAATTAACTAATTGCGAGTTTGGTAGTTTTTTTCTTCTTTAAAGCTAAACACAGACGATTTTTTTTAGCTTCGCGGAACTCAAAGAAAATCGGTGCAAGATTGCGTTTATGTAGATTTTGCGGACGGTAAAAAAGCGATGACGCATCCGCAAAGCTCGCCACGAGACAAAAATGTTGATTGGTATCAAGGAAACTGTCATATTGGGAGGGAACCTGAAATGCGATAAGTAATGTTTTATAAACTGACAACGTTCGTGACATTAATGAAGGCGCGAGACCATTTGCAAGCACTTCGCGAGTTTGAGGAAAAAGCGTTCGATGGTCTTCCTGTCGTTTAAAGACAATAATTAAGGACTAAGTTTCAAAAGCTCACGAACCGAGAAAATACTGAACTCAGTGCCGGCTAAACTGTCACGTCTTCAGGGGAAACCTCAAAAACGAAATGTTTCCGACACTGAGAGATTTATGTCTTTGGAGGCTTTATAATTCCAATATCACTTGTGAATTCTTGGCTCAGTTGGTTGAAGTGTGCTCTTAGTGCGTAAATGTGTACGTGCAAAAATTGACGTTCCTTCTCGACACCGTTTTTCTTACGTCTTTGTGTATCAAAACTCCCTTGGCAAGCTGTGCTGTGTGTCTGTTCAGCTAAAGTACCAGTGTTTTGCCATATTTAACCTCCCCCTGCTTCGTGATAACAAAGATAAACACTCGAATAGGAGTCAATAAAACGGTAAATAGCAAGTTCTCCTCCAGCGACCTTGGACAATGTTAAACCATGTCCTCAAGTGCGCGGTTTTATTGTGGCGACACAAAGTTCCACAGGGATTTTTTCATACTTCATGTGATTTACGATGTTTTTTAAAATAGACTACCCATTGAAGAGACAAGGAATTCATTGTTACCTTATATTCTCTTCACCTGTTTATGATTTTAATTTTTACGAGTTTATTGCAGCTTCTCACGACGATGTTACAACAGAATGGCAGTGATTATGGACGGAAGAACCTTTGTCTTACAAATTTACCATCCCTTGTTTCAAAAAGCGTGAATTCGTTCATCACATTGAAATCTTGAGTAAAGCATCGCCGCCCCCAATACTACAAAAACAATAGAAAAGAGAGCAGAGGGAAAAGTAAAGAAGAACTCATTTTTAATGGCAATAAACAACAATAAGGACAAAGGAGGACTTGTTATTGTAGATTAAGACGCCTGAAGGAGTCGTCTTGGTCAGCTATTAAATTGCTTTTCTGGGTAAAAATGTTTGAAAATATTGCTGTATTTTTGCTGCGCAATATATGAATGAACCGAATGAAGATCATTTTTACGCGTCCAATATTTAAAAATGTACCGCGGGGGTTTGGACAAAAAGATGTTATCGTAGAGGTAGGAAATTGTCAACAAAGACAAAGAAAGACAAATATCAGTCTGCTATTTTAATGTACGAAACATTCCGTCTCGAATTAAGGGAGAAAAAATCAAAATCCTCCCACGGTTTTAATCCTGTCGGTGATTCATACACCAGTCTGGGAAAACAATGATCAAGCTGAGAGGAAATCCGACAAAACACTTAATTTCAGCTGATTTTTTTTATTAAGATGTTGCAAAAACAAATTATGAAAGTTTAATAACTTGACTCGATAGTGTGTAAAAAAACGGGTACTTCTTTCTTGTATCCGATGGATGCAACAGATTTTTACAGTAGCCAATAACCTTCAATTTGGGTGAAATTGTTAGTTACTGAACGTAAATACATTTAACGCGTGCGTCAAGCTCTTTGCACAGGAAAATCGTTTCTAGGTGATATATCGGGCCGAGTAAATGTCAAATAAATCAAATTTGCAAGAAAAAGGTCTAATGTTTTTGGTAGGCCAGGTGAGTTTGCCACCGAAACTAGAAATATAATTTCTGTTGCTATTCCCAACATGGGGTATTAAACCACCCATTACTATCAAAATAAGAACAAAATGTAAGAATTACGGTATGTTTCAGTAACAAGTATAACATATTTATCTCCTGATTATTCATAATTCTAATTGAACCATAAAAATAAAAATTAATTATAAAATTGATAATGGACGAAGCAGTAACATGACCCTAACGCAAAGCGATATTTTAAAAGGCTGGAATAAACAGGATGGTAGAAATTAAACTTGAATATAATATTACAGATTTATATAATATTTTAGTTTGTGAAATCAGACACTGAAAGCGAAAACAATTTCAGAGGTTTAATTTATGACTGCCCAAATAAAATATGTTTTTAAAACGTTTGGCAAATTCATTTCATTTTAGACAGTTTCGTACATCAGCCATGGTTTTCAGCCATTCGTCCGAGTTCAGCCGGCGTTGGTTCAGGCCCCAGCAGGTAATAACTAAGCTTATATTCATGAAATTCCGCGCTTAAAATATTTCATTTATCACATCACAGAAACCTGTTACATAATAAAGGAAATCGTTTCCCCCAATCATCTTAGTCATAAAAACCTTAGAAATTTATAAATAGATAAAAGCGTTTCGTTGAAAATTTCAATAATAACTTGTTTCCATAGGAACAGCGGAGTCATGAGTTTAGAGAGAATGGAAACTACTGTGAAACATTGTCACAAAACCCGGCGTAAACAGAAAGACAAAACCCTAAAACAAAATACACCATGCTAAGAAACAGGGGCGCACAAAACACAAAACAGAAACAACTGAGACAGAAACGTAATGACCAACCACGCCTGAAAAGAGAACTACCATTCAACAGATCTGCCAAAAATGCACTGGCAAAAGGATCCTATTTTCCATACAATGGGACAAAACAGGAAGTGTCTTGCCCATCTGCCCCCTCCCTGCAGGAGCTCTTTTTTTACTTAGATCGCCTACCTGCTGTATGACTGCTTGTCTAACCCACAAGTACAAGAAAAACCTATGAACTGAAATATTAATCCGAAGTTCCTTTAAAAATGAACACCACTTAAGGTAATTTTACTCTTCTTTGTTTTCTTGTGCTGTTTTGAAAAAGCGAAAAATTTTTGGCACAAAAACCGTCGACATTTTTTATACGTCATAGCAAAAAGCGTTCTAATCTGACAGGCGTTCCTTGAAGTACCATCCAACAGATCTTTGCCAAAAAAAGATGGTTTTTATTCACGTGACAAGAAATTCATCAAGGTAAATGTGAAACCAACGTTTTACTGTTTTCTATAAGCGTAAACACGTGTCTGATCTATCGTTCGCTGAGGGTCACTTACTCTACACTTTCTACTCCAGAAAACCTGGATCTTTAATTTCGTTTGCCCCCATCCTCAGAATTCCATAATCGTGAATCCCTCCTTCACTGAACTTTAAAACGCTGGCGACGCAGGTTTCCATAGAGGTTTCATTTGAATGATAACAACAACGAATTCCGTGCACAGACTTAAAATGTCGAATTCTGACACATCTCAGTCGAAGAGTGATGCCAAGAGTGAAAAGGGTTTTACCCAAGTAAAACATCAATTGCACATACAAAAGAAGAGCTGACAGAAACAAAGCCCCCAAAACGGAAATACAAAACCTTAATTGCGGTCTAACGTGAAAGAACATGCGCGCGACAAAACGATAAAACCGACAAAAACCTGTAGTTCATCGGCGCTTTCCGTTGGCTTGCTATGACTGCTCGGCCCACCCATGTACTACACACTCTGAGGTATTTGCCGCGTCTTTTCATCGTTGCCTCGCTGCTTTCTTTGATTTGGTATCTCTGAATTTTTCCATTCCCTTATTTCGCACGAATTTCGCTTTTTCCCGCAAAAGCAAATATCAAAAGAAGCGAAAATAGAACACCTAGATCGCTAGATTCGCGCGGATTTCGCTTTTTCCCGCTAGAACAAATATCAAAAGGATCGCTAGTCAATCTCCTTCGCAGCCGGTCCGAGCGGCTGCGATGAAGACTACAGGATCGCGGGATATAATGTACACTTAAGGTATGTAATATATAGAAGGTCGTCGTTTTGGCGTTTTGTAACCTGGAATGCTTCCTTCGCTAAGGGACGTGAAAAAGACAACAAACAATATCCAAGCATCAGTCAACCCAGCCTGCAAAAACAGCCGTTTCTTGTCGCTCCTACTTGGTCGTGGGAAAGGCTGATAAGACAGATTATACTAAAGAGACCAAAATCTGAAACAATAGTTCCCACAACGCCAAGGATTCTGCACGAACGAGACTCTTCAGGGTGCCCGAACCAACCTTCTTTAGTCAGCAGATTTTTTTCTTCCACCTTGGGCGTTTTCCTTTTGGACACCAAGAAAGAAAAAAAAGCGTAAACCGGATCTTTAAGGATATAGCAGACCGAGACTAAAATATTGGTCAAAGTACGCTTTAATATTTGCTTTTTGTTTTATTGCTGACTAATTTTCCCAGCCTTTTTGCTGTAAGGTTAGTGTAATATTTTTCCACTCATGTGTAATGACAGCATTAGATATATTTATTGACCAAGGCCTGCACAAGATGCAGCCGCACTAGCTGACTCGCTCTGACTGTGCAGCTTCAATTACTGCCTGTCACTAAATTTATAATTAGTTTTCTTAGGGATCGACGGATGGACATTGTAAGTAGAGGCATGTTTTTGCAGGGCCATGGCCCCTAGTAGAGAGCAGTTACAAAAGGTGCAACTGCATGATAACATTGCGGGCTGCGATATTTTTATCTTACGATCCGAGCTCAGGGTGCAAGATAGTCTCAACTCAATACTTGGAATTTGAAAAGTGTTTTGTCTCTCCCATGAGGTTAATTTTTAAGACATTTTTTAGGGGAGGGTGGTTTATTGGAGACGGAGGGGCTTGTCTAAAACTGGAGAAGCAACCGTTCATGTCGTGTCTTTTCATTTCACTGACGGCATTTAATACTGAAAAACTCAGTGAGAACTGGAAGCAATGGAAAGGACACCCAATATTTCGCGCCCAACCTTTGGTAATCAGATAATCATTACTTAAGGTTGTTTTCAAAGAATTTTGTTTACATTTAGGGACTGTTAAATGTGACGAACGAAATCATGGTAATTGAGGGGGGCTTATAAGGAAGAGGGGGAGGCCTGTTATTTTCCCCTTATAGAATTACACTTTGAACCCCTATTTCCTCGAGTTCCAAACCAAAAGGTCTTGAAAAGGTCACAGCAATCGAGCACTGCAAATAACTACACTACTTCAATTGTTTCTCCCACGTATGTCCAAGGTGGTCTTTGGCAGAAAATAACAATATCGCCTCTTTTTGTCTGGTGGTTATCGGCTTGAATCAGAGTTCGGCATCACTAAGAAGATTAAGCTAATCCTTAAAAGCAATTAGTTGTCGGCCAGTGAATACTTCTTAACGCATCTGACTGCCAAGTGTGGATAAAGTTAAGATTCATTTCATGTTCTAAATTTCGTTTAGTACTGATAAGAGACAGAACAAAACGCCTTCAAGAAATTGCAACTTAATAGCTGATTCATTTAAGCGGCCACAGTTTTGGAATTCATGCCGACTCGAAAGCTAGCCGCGCTTTGAACAGTGTAATGAACAGCAGCACGGGTATGTACTGCTCAATATCTTTCAGTTGAATTGTGACAATTTAGTACTTCATCCATAGATGTTTAGCTGGAACCGCCTTTTTGATGCCAAACACTTGTATTCCTCGCGCGCTGGAAACGACTCGAGAGATTTCGCGCCGGAGACGTCGCTAACCACAACAGCGAAGCGCGAGGGGTCATGGGACGGGATCATTGCTTCGAAAGCAAAATTGTATGCGACTCAAGTCTCAAGATCATGGACAATTGCCTGAAATCGACACCTCGAGCTTCCTTTGACTGTCGATAAGGCTAAGGAATTTGTTAAGTCAGATCATAATTCTGTACTTGACTGTGCTGTGAAAGAGGGTGAGGGCTAGGGGGAAGAGAGAGAGAAAGAGAGAGATGTCTGGTTACACAGAGTAATTTGCACTGCGATAATGTAACCCGGAAGAAGCGCATGGAATTCTTCAGAAGGAGGTCGGACACTTTATGACGACTACACAATGCAGCATTTGTATTTACTGGACATCTTGTCAAGACCAGCGTTGTATAATGCTGATAGATATCTCCAGTATAAATAAAGCTTGTATTATTATTATTAGAATTAACACTAAGATGATGATATCTATATTTGATGATGATGGTCATATTAGTAAAATGAGTCTCATCGTGCAAATGATGATTATTTAGATTCCAATCCATTCCTTCCCAGGGCATTAAAACCCTAAGACGACAATCCTTTTTGTTTTTGCCTTTCATATAACCCTATTTGGACTAAAAAGCAAAACCATTTAGGATTCTGGTCATATTCAAGGAAAAAACAAAATTATTACGAAAAAGAAAACTTTATTTCTTCTCAAATTGGATGTATAGCATCAAGCATAAAATTAGAATAAGCCAGTAAAAAAAAAAAAAAATGTTCGTTTAGGCGGGCGTTTTCACCATTCCAGGAATAATACAATTAAGCTTCCCAGGACCACACCAGGCACACAGAAACAAAAGGGTAAAAAAGATACCCTATTTAAGGACCGAGAACCTCAAAACCATACCCTATTCCGGCACATACCTGTATAGCCCATATATGGAGACGACGGGCAAAGACATCGACATCAGGACGACAGAAAAGCAATAGGTTTAGCTTTGCACGTGCATCACTCTTTTTTGGACAATTCTCTGCCGTCACTGCACGACTATCAGGGTCGTGACAGTGCCTGATTTCAGGTTTTGTCGACGACGTGAACACAAGACAACGATTTTCTTTTTCTTTTCCTGAAATTTGATACATTCTCTTAGAATTCAACTCTAGAAAAATTTGCCAAAATTTGACGAATTGAACGAGTTGGAATGAGCGCGATAAAGTTGAAGTAGCGCGAATTCACTTTGTAAGTGACGTTTCCGTTAGTGTGTTATCGAAGGGGGGACATTATGACCGGAATATTTTCTGTTTTCGAGTAGAAGGGCCTAAAACAGAGAAAGGAAAGAACTTAAATCACACACAAAAAACTTAATAACCAAGATCAACAACGTGTACTCCTTATGTATTGAAGATCAACTAATTAAACCTGTCAAGCTTCCGTTTGACATCTTCTTGCGATCAATAACTTACCAAGAATAGTGAAAGATCGATATCGAGTAGCCCGCGTGGCCGGCGGTTTTCCAGCTTATTCTTTCCACTTTTTTTCAGGGTTACTGACCCGACAGTTGACGACAGTTCGCCGACAACGAATTTTCAACAGTGACTACAAGCTAACGCATCACTTTCACTCTGACAATAGTTCATAATTTCGGTGTCTGGCTGATGATAGCTGTTATCGTTTGGCCGCCCGCGTGTTCACTTGCCACCCAGGTAGCGAGTTCAGCCGTACCCCATAAAGCAGACAACCGTGGTCGAAGTCCGTAATAGGGACAAAGGAAATAGGGAGATTAAGCCATGGCGTTTTTGAGCGACGGACAGCAACTGGAAGTGGAGTTTTGGCAAACCTGTATCACGTGGTACATATGGACGTTAAGCGTTTTCCGGAAGTCATTCCTAGCTTGGCTCTCTTCCGACTGTCCCCACTAATCTGGTAGCCAGGTCTCTTGTCGGCTCCGTCGACAATAGACCCGGCAGTTCAATATTCTCGTTGTCGTCGTGGTTGCTTAAGCTCCCCCCTGTGCGTAGAGGAGACCCAGTCCCCATGGTACAGAGTGTAGAAGTCTCAAAGTAAAATGCTTAAAACCAGCTGTTGTTATTCAGCTTAACATCGCCATCCTCGAAAACGCCAAAAACGTTTCTGCCTCCGGCCAAATGACACACACACACAAAAACAAACAGCCTTATAAATAACATCAGAATTTATTAGAAATCATGACAGCTCATTAATTAATAACGTAATTAATTACCAAGTATCAGGGAAACACACCCGGAGGACAAAACTGCTAAACCTTCAAGTTAGTATAGGTAATAGCATGATTTGTAGTGATATTTGGCATAAATACTACGAGTGATATTTCAAAATGGTTATACGTAATTTCACGAGCCGTTGGGCGAGTGAAATTTGAGACAATTTTGAAATATCACGAGTGATATGCCAAATGTTACGTACAAATCCTGCTATTACTTGTTTATACTACTACCCGCAAAAGGTTTGTAATTTTCACATGTAGGTAATTCAAATTAAGCTGAAATACCACTGCTCTAAGCCAAACAAATTGCAGAAATTTCTCCTGTAGTAGTGTAAGCGTTGATATTGCTGTCCATGTGTGACAGCATCATTTCAGTCGTTTTGCGACTAAAAGCAGGTGTTCAGCCGCCCCCTACCCTCCGGAAAAAAAAATCAGAAAACGGAGATGCGGCTGCCACTACACACAGGCTATGTGATTGGGTAATAAACCTCGTGTCCATTCAACCAATCAACAAACGCAACAGCGATCATGACTTTCTCACAAGCGTTTTCCCGCGCTTGGCGTCGGCTAGAAGTACTTTTTCGTGTTCTGATCCCTGCGTCTGCTGTGATTGGCTAAATAAGCGAGTTCGTTTTTGCAAAACACGAGAAAACTGCTCAACAAATTTACCGGGAATGCAAGAGCAGAAAATGATGACGGCAAATACTCAAGATAACACGCAGGAAGTTTTGTCCTCCAGACAGTAAAGTTTTTTAACGCACAGAGCTATAAATTAATTTTCACACCTCTTTGGTGCTTTAAGAGCTGTAGTAAAGTATCAGGAATTTACAATTTAAAGGGGCCATATCACGATATCTTACAAAATGGTGCCTCTACCACGGCCGCGTTCAAAACCAATACAGCCCCTCCCAAATATGGTCACGCTTGGACCAAGCTACGCACACCGGCCAATAATGTTTGCAACAGCTGAGGACCTATTTAAAACACGAGTTTTGTTGTCAAACTATAACAAAAAACTAAGGCACGGTTTTATCGGAAGGCAGGCTTTTGACCCTTCAAACTCGAACGTAACGTCAAATTGCACCTACCTAAAGTTCAAAGCCGTGCAGCTCTGGCCTCAATACTGCCATAGCAGAACTCTCGTTTTATATAATCATATAGATAACATTTGTCAAAAATAGCGTGATTACTTGCCCAATTTCAATGATAAATCTGTCCCTTAATCAGTTAATTCTAAAGTTACACTTTATTCTGATTAAATAAGCTTAAGTAGTTTCCAGTAACCCTTACATAAGATAACTACAGAAAGAAACCAGTGATGACTAGAGAGGGCATAGGTGAGGTCGGGCTGACATTGTGTTTAACCTGGCCTACGTGGTAACAGTTAGACGAGAAAAAGATTTTTTGTTCCCGGAAACTTATGCTCGCACGGTAAAAATTGAATGCAGTCTAAGTTTGACTATCAGAATGACATTGTCTAGTACAAATACCTCGCATAGTAGTAACCCAAGTGGACGCTTTTATCTCAATTTTTATGGAAAGGTTGATTTATGACGTTTGGGGATCTTCTTTAAGCGATACGCGGTCGTGATTTTGGCTACAAAAGATTTTGTTCTGCCAGTGTGAAATTTGAAGCTCGTAGTTGACGAAAAGAATCAGGAACTAACTAAGACGAAGAGACCCAGCTCCCCTAACGGTCCTTAGGAAACTTCTTAGTGGGGCGACGTCAATTTTAAGGAAAGAAGACCCTATGAATTGAGGCAACTCGCAAGAATGCAGAAACAAAACCAAACAAAACAAACGAACACTCGTGGCCAGCAAACCTCAGAGATTTGCAATACGCACAGCACACCCAGTCAAAAAAACGAACTGACATGCATATTTCAGTTCCTAGCACAGACAACCCAATCTCAACTGACTTGTGTACGTCATCAATGTTCTCACTATAGGAATCTCTGTTTTATGCTTCAAAGAGATAACTCACAACTACTGAAGCAGATTAGTGACGAGTGATAGATATCTCATTAAAAAGTGATTTAAAGAAAAAAAAAACCCTCAAAATTATAATTGTCTTCCAGTTTTAGCCAAGACTGGGGAAAACACTCAAGAGGAAGCCTCGAACGGCTTTCAGACAACTGCGACAAAAGTGGAATAAAATAGCTAAACTAGTATATGTTACATCTGCTTCATTCAATACAATAATTACTGATGTACGTTATACCACCAACAGTAAACTTCAATTAACAAATAGGCTAAATTATTAATAATATAAGTTACTTAATTTGGATTCACCTTTTTACAAAATGAAAACAATGCATAAATGTAACTAGCTAAAACTAATAGCCAACCAACAAATAATAAACATACTGGTATGTATGTAAGAATGCAGGGTGGTTTGTGTGTAATTTGTGAATCAACACCTGTCAAAACAAGCTTCAAAAAATGATAGAATTAATAGTTTCTGATGCCTTGAAAAACAACGTGCCATTTGGAATGTACTGTTTACGATGTCTATTAATGTTGCCCATTTATTGGCCAGTAGGAACAGGGTATCAGAGCACTATTCTTACCAGATAGGTTTTCCAATTATTGGGTAGTATTAATAGTTTATGTAAAAACCATCCATGCAATTTATCTCGTTCAATCACTGGCCAATATAGATGGAGTGGCGAAGCAGCAGGCCTTTTTTGGAGTTACAAATGATTTGTTATAGCATGATCACTGGCCAACAAAAAGTTGCTTTTAAGCCTAAGAAATAGAGAATCAGAAAGTGGGATTCATACTACAAAAATAAGATTCTAAACTTCAATTTCAAGAAACTAAGCTGCTTCAATATGAAGATGAATATCAATAACATTCGGCACCACATAATGGTGTAAGGATCTCCACTCTATAAACTGTACACATGTTCCAGCAGTGTACCCTGGGTCCTAAAACAGCAAATTCATAATGACTGGTTGTACTTTATGACTGCAACTCTGACTTCTTTTATATCTTTGCAAATTAGTGCACCAAGTTTGCAATAGCAAAACCGAATTTGTGAATGGTGAATCACAAATCAACTGCCATTCAATGGCTATTTCAATTTAAAATTCTATGCTTTTAGATCACATTAATTTTGGTGATGCCAGGTTAACAGCAAACAGGCCAAGGCAAAATATCCCTGACTAGAAACCCTGTTAAACAATTTTTAGAACTAAAACTAGTGAGCAGCACTGGGCGAACAGCAGCTTTAAAACTTTTGATCTTCTGATGTACAGTCGAACCTCCTGTAAGCAACCACCCAATAAATTAATGCAAAGACTTAGTGGTCGCTTACAAAAGTGGAACCACAGGGGGTCTTTTCTGAAAAGAGGTCTGGGCACATCTACTTTATGGAAGATAATTTGTTGCATGCAATTTCTAAGTTATGTGTAATTTCAGGTTGTTACTAAAGTACATGTATATTCCAAGTAGCATGGTGCACACAGCGAACATAAAGGTCTGAGAATGTGTCAAGTGGTCGCTTACAAGAGGTTAAGAACAATGGAAAATCACCAAACTTTCAGGCCCAAAAAGTGGCCGCAGTCGCTTACAGGGGGTGGTCGTTTACAAGAGGCTCCAACCGTAAAGCTTCGTCTTTGTCTGGATTGGCTGTCGCTTATGGGAGGTGGTCGCACATGCAGGTTTGACTGTACTTCCTGGGGCTAACATAGGGTGCTTACCACTAACACAAACCACCTGGGTGGAAATCTTATTTATAAACACAAAACTTGAAAATTTGACAGGGTGGGAGAACAACCCGCAATGTACGTCCAAATCAGCTGAACAAACTAAAACGAGTAGAAAAATTGCATACCCTCAAATCACGGACCACGTTTTCCGAATCTGCCCAAACAGAATGGCCCGAATGACACAGGTAAATGTTACGTACCCATAGACTTCTTCAGAGAGTTTTAAAATCAAACACTGAATGCCTGTATTCAAGCTATATCTGATGACCATTAAAATACAGTAAATATTCACACCTGCACCTGTTCTATTTCGCAGATCCAGCCAAACCATTAATGCTACCAGATATGGCTTCAATATACGTTTATTTTTTTATCATAAAACTCCCTGAAGAAGTCTACATTTGTTAGATGAAACACATAAAAAAAAATGAACAAGTTTAACAGCTACAGTTCGCAGAGTGCTGTTCAATAGTTTAGTCTAAAAATTGGTATACGGTTCAGGGATGGGTTGTGCAAAGCTCAGGTTTTGTGGGAAATTTGAATTCAGATATGAAAGTGTAAAAAACCAATTCAGTTTTTTTTGTTGTTGTCTACAATTTGATGATTGCATGCATTATAAAAATCAGAAAAAATTAATCAATATAATGTTTTTGAACAAAAGAAAAAGTAACTGGGATAAATACTTTACCCCCGGTTAGCACTAATCGGCCTTTGGACAACTGGTCCCTGGATTTCATCCTACTAAACTGAAATGGGGGTCTGGACCTATCACCAGTTAACATGCGACAGACAGTCACTTGGTTGAAGAGAATGAGACCCTGACAATAACGTCCTGTAATTATATGGGGCAATGTTTGGAGTTTCTTTTCTTCCTTTTTTTATCATTTTTAGATCCTAAAAAAGAACTGAATGGATCAGGAAATAAAGGTATTCTGATACTGACTTATAAGTGAGGAGGTTTGAGATAATAAATATTGTTGGTCATAAATTTTGGCGGCATTAAGTTTTGAGTGTTTTTTCTTGGAGGTGATTTGGGCCATCAAAAGCAGGTTTGAAATTTGTTCTTGGCCATGTAATACACCAGCCAGAAAGGAACGATATCCCTTTCAGAACTCTCTTGGAAAATGTTGGCTGGAGATCAATAAAATACTTTTTGTTATCCTTTTTTTATAACATCTCTGCAACAACTGCATTATTTTAGCCAATAACTATTGCCAAAATAGGCTGTTTGTGACTTGCTTTGCCCAAGATCATGATAATTACTGTTCTTGTGCTTGGTAGACCAGCACCTTTGCAAGATCATTTACAACAACTTTCCGTTGATGCAATTTGTGGTAAACTTTAACTTCAGACCTCTTTCCTGTGAACACCACACAATATCCACAGGTGTTTTCTCAGTATCCACTGAACAGTCAGTAATGTTAAGTACAATTAGCAACGTGAACGAGTATTATACAGGTCCAGATATTTAAAAAATATCTACATCATGAAATAATGCAAGTCATCTTCATAATATTACTTATATACAAGTTGGTTGCCTTGTATTTAAACTTGTATCCTTAACACTTCATCCAGTTATCTCTTTTATGCATTTTCTCTTCGTGCTGACATCTTGTTCATTCTGTTTTTCCAGTTTTATATTTTCTTTTCTTAGGTATTCTTTTGTGATGGAGTCTTTTGCAGACATTGTCATCAACAATCGGTGTTCTGCATGACTGTTGAATGAAACTCAAGCGCATGTTCTGCCAAGTCTTGGCTCCTGTTTAAGTTGCGAATACTGAAAAATGTAAAACGTTTGCATCTACAAAAGGGCTGCAGCATCATTCACAGCTGTTGAAGTATTGCAGAGCCATTGTAGATGATTTACCAATCTTGCTTTACACATAACATTATCCATTTAAAGTTCTGTCAGACTCCATTCTACACATAGCAGTTTCAACTAAACAAACAAGCACTTTTCATATTGGTTACTCACACGGCATTCACTTGGTGGGCGACTTGGATTGGTTGTTATTTGAGTTAGCTGAGGAAACAGCAGTTTGCTTTGTAGGGGTTTTCTGGGTTACTTGAGCATAACTTAACACCGTTGTCGATTGCGCTACATCTTCCTGCAATAAAGCAACCACCAAAATATAATTTCAGAAAATGGTAATATTTGCAAGTGCCAGCCTACTTACTTCAATTGCTTAGTCTCTTGGTTTACATAAGTTTACTGACTGCAGCCCCAATGGTACTCTTAAGGAACAAAGGAACAACCACAGTAATGAAAGGACCATTCACATGTGGTTTCACCTTAGTGATAGCGCGCTCAAGTGTTAATGTTGGTTTAGGGGAGGGGTAGGTGGGCAGTTTCCCTGCAGAAACGTAAAATGATCCGAGATACAAGGGTTGAGTTTGTTGATGGTTCTCTCCTTTGCTCCAAAAGGTTTTTCTCTCAGCACTCTGGTTTTGCCCTCTCCTCAAAAGCCAACATTTCCAAATTCTAGTTCCACCATGAATCAGAGACCCTCTTAGGGGGGTTACGTGTGCCTCTTGTCTGAATTTCAAAACCTGTCGTTTCATGTATTAACCCTTTAAGTCCCAATAGTGACCAACATCAACTTTCTCCTAACAATATCCATACATTGTCCAGAGATTAGGTTATGAGAATTAATAAAATGATCACCTAAGGGAAAATGCTTTGATCTTTTATCAAATTCTCTCAACTCATTCTTTAAGGAAATATATCGAGATCAGTTTGGAGAATTTGTATGTGGATATTGGGACTTAAAGGGTTAAGGAGGAAGCCATGTTGATGTTTGTATTTTACTATTGTATTTGCACTTTTCTCTGTGGCCGTCGCAGTTTCAACCCTTCTTTGTGCCGTTTGTCACCACTTCTGCTTTCTTATGTCGCTGTTTCAAAACCATGTCGCTTGCCAGAATTTTACCCTCACAGGGCCTTGAATAAGGTTGACAAAGGTCCATTCAGTGGATTTGCTACCTTTAAATCCTTATTTATTTATTTTATTCATTCATTTATTTATTTATTTTAGAAGAAGGTGATGACCACAGTTTGCACTGTAGGGCAAGTTACTCACTGTAGACTGGGGAATGGGCTTTGTTTCTGGCACTTTCTTGTTTTCAACTTTCACAGGAGAAGGTGGTTCCTTCTGTTTGACTTCTGTGTTCACTCTATGACTGTAAAAAATAATGCAGTCAATGTTATGAACCATATTCCTTGCATGAAAAGGATCGAGTTTCATCTGAAGGCAAAGCACGACGATCACCTAATTTAGCCCACTGTTTTCAAATACAAAATCCCTTCCAAGGCAACCAAACCATTGTAAAAAAGTAACCCCCACCCCCATTCCTAAAATAATCTTGAATTTTTATGTCTGGGCTTTTTTGGAAGTCACAGAGATAAGAAGATCTTCACAATGGTGACTTCCCTCAGTATTAGCCCTTTAAGCTCTAAGAGAGATCAGCATCCACTTTCTCCTTGTAATATCAATGCTTTGTAAAACAGAGTGGTCACCAGAATTATGGACATATCACACAAGATGAATTTGCTTGATATTTTATCAACTTCCCCCCACTACTTCTGTAAGAAAGGAATAGGGGCACCAAATGAGAATTCAAATTTTGATCTTAGGGTGTAAAGGGTTAAACACAATATGCCATACCATAACAGCTACACAGCAGCTACACAACAATAAAAGCTGATAAAAGACTACAGTAGAGTTCTGATTACTTACTCAAAAGAGTTTGGAACTGTGTTTACTTTCTTGTCCTGTGGTGATGAAGGTTCCTGAAATTAAACAAGGACCACTTTTAAACCAGCAAAAAAAATGTGTAACAGGAAACTATCAACAACAGAAGCCCATGAGTGAGTTACGCCTGACAAATTTTACCAAGTAACATTTCATTGAGTCAATAATTGGAGAAATGATTACTGTTAAATAAATTTCGAGCTTCCTTACAAAAATCTAAATGAAAAGCTGAATTCTTCATGAGGTCCAGTCAAACTTAGTCAATAGATAGATCTCATTTTTTAGGTCTGATATTAAGTCCATTTTCTGTTATACCCATTACAGTCATAGAAAAGCAAAAGCATTCGTGGGAACTGTTACATCTGGTACTCGTTTTGCAAAGCAAATGTCCAATTCATTCTGTCATTAATTAATGTCCTTCCCTAGTGTGTCACATTTCACTATTCAAGTAAAGCTCTCATTTAGATTACCTTAGCGTCTGGAAATTCTTTGGAACCCTGAGTTTTCTGAGAACAAAACAAAACATAGAGATTTGATGCTTTTGAAACAACTCACTCAACAGTACACCATAATGGTTAATTGTGTTCACTGAAACATTGTCATAAATTTAAACCAGTTAACCGCTTTTCTTTGCTAAGCTGCACAGACATAACAAAATACTAACTGCTAGTATTTCCCGTATGTAGCTGCAGAGATAAGTGAACTAGGTCCCAACAAGAGCAATCATGCCCAGAAATGCAGGTAATTAACGTTTTCACTTCCAAACAAGGTTAAAAAAATAAACATAAAAAAATTGTCAAAATATCTTTTTAATCTGTGGATAAAATTCTATGATATCACTACTCAAATGAAAGCAGAGTCCTACTTAATTCTGAGGATTAAATTTAACATTTTTTTGAACTTTGCCTTAGACCAATTATTATTAGCCTTAAAATTCGATTGGGTAAAAACTTGCCTTTTTCAAATCACTTCACATTTTACAGAATTGTCTGTTTTAGTGACCCTTTCACAGGAAACTTGTGGGGAGTTACATGCAGTATATCTATCTCGCTAGCTCACAAATTTCTGTTCACATTGAAAAATATTTTACTTGTTCGCTGTACTCACTCATGAAATATTTTTCAACACTCAAAAAGAACTTTCGAATCTCTATGTGGCTATGATTGTAAAATCTGTATGTATGGATGTGTGTAATGATATAGACATCGACTGATGTTAGGCTTAAAGGTATAATAAGAGGAGGAATATATACTTACAAAGAGTGCAAGTGGAGATGTTGGAAGAGGAGGAAAATGTGAAGGAGCCAAGTCTATTGTATCACTGTCATCTTTACTATGTCGCACTGGGCTTGCCTTGCCTTCTTTTTGGCGCTGCAACGTTAAATAATCCAAAACAAGACACATTGCTAATGGTCTTGTTCACAGTAGACTTGTGGCCTGATCAGTCTGTTTCCACCGTGAACAATGCTCTAGCAGAGCCGAAAACTCAAAATTTCCAGCTTAATAATTTGCATCCTACACAACTAACTACATGACTGGTGTAAGTAGCTTCTTTAACAGTGATTAAGTAATCCTTCGAGCCAAAATCTTATTCAAAAGGAAGCAGGCTTCTGAAACAGGTTGTTTATAGAACAAAAGACATTGCGACAGTCAGGGTTATTTGAAGCACTAACAAAAACTACCCAAAAAGTATTATCATTATTCATCCACTCACTTTTAATTATTTACTCAGACAGTCTAACACCTAGAATATAGCCAAAATTCTTTGGGTTACTTAAAAACCCTTCTTTCCTTCAGCTTCCAGATGAATTCAGTGGGAAATGAAGTTGTTTGATATCATGCACTAAAGCAATTTTAAAAAATTGGAAACATACCAAATGCTTGCTGACGTCTTCACTACTACCCCTTCTTCTTCTACTCCTTGCATTTCTCCTGAAACAATTGAAAAACACAACCATTAGATAGGAAAACAGTGATTTTACAAGTTGCCTGTGGGATTCAAAAAAAGGGGGAGCTTATGTGAAAAAACACTGGCGAAGAGCCAAAGACTAAAATTTATATTACCAGAGCTTTCAATAAGCACATGAAGTGTAATAATAAAATCTACTGTCTAAACCTATGTGCTCAGGTTTTGTATTGAATAAAGTTATCCCTTGATGATTCCTCTTTTCACTTCTGAGTGCAAGTAATTATCCACTCTTCACTTGCTTTTCTTTCAGCTCTACGTGTACATCAAAGGCAACACATTAATATTATTGGGCCTTTTGCCTGGAACTGATACTTTACAAGCTATATTTATGACATGGTCACAAGACTATGGGTAAAAAGAATTTTACCCCTTAATTCCTTTGCTGGGAGTGGGAGTCAGGGGACTGTCAGTAACATCTCCAGTTGCTGGGTACATGTAATCATTACGGCATGGAATTAAACAGCTAAAATTATAGCTCTTTCATTTGTAGTTCCTTTTGTTTCCTATAAAAGTAGCCTGGAAAAATCCCAGCTCCCGGATCTTAGTGACAGCCTTGGGAAGGGGAGTTATTTTGATTTCAAGGCAAAACAAACAGTAACATCCTAGTTCAACAAGACCCAACAATACATTATGATGAATGTGACAATTCATGCAAAACTCAAACCTTGCATAGTCATCATCTCTTGTGTCCCTTTGTCTGGAGAATCCAGCGGCTCTATTATTAATGTTGTTAACAGCACCCCCATTACTGCTGTTATTTACAGGAGAGTTCTGTGACCGGTTTCGCTGCATGTCTCTGTCTATTCTGTCATTTTGCTGATCGCGGTGATGTTTAGGGTGATTATTTTGAAACCTGTAATTAAATAATTGGATAAGTATGAGGTCTATAGACAAAATAATAAGAATGAAAAAAATAATAATTTAAATTAAGCAGGGTAGCCAGGGCATCCAATTCAGGCTTTGAACCAAGTCAAAATAAATTCTGCTTGCCCTGGGCTGTTACATGCTTGTCTTAGTTTGCTTTACCAGACTTTTTTCCAAAACAACAATTTCTTTTTCTGGACTCCAAAATATCAAATAGGTGATCAATAGAGAGACCTTGAAAAATGCAGGACCCAAGCTTTTTTATGATGCTCTGCAAATGTACAGGTACCACAGTGCAATAAGGACCTAAAACATTTCTAAATTCTCATTCAGTGTTTGAAAGTCTTGGCTATGGGAGAAATTGAATAGGATTTCACCTTGTCATGGCTCTGAAAAAAATCCCACTTTTTATCTCTTATTTCCAGAATTTTCCAGGTCAGGAAAATTGCTTTTCAAGTTTCAAGACTTATTCCAAAATGCAAGACACTGTACAAACCCTTGCCAAAATATTTTCTATGACTTGCCGTGGAACATGGTTACAGCTTGAAATGAAGGCTAGGTTACAACAACAATGATTAAAAAGTAAACAATGTGTTTATAGAATTGATGATTATTTGCCATCTTACTGAGCCTTTTTTATACCTTGGTCTGTTATTTCCTTGGAAATTGTGGCGTCCGGTATTGGCTGGGGCTGAGAGATTAAAAAAATAAGTAAACACATAATGTTAGCAATGGCAAACAAATTGGACAACATGAAACACAAATAGCAGAAAATAAGCTGAAGTTTAAACTGTCACTCCTGTTTCCACTACAACGATTACAATGCCTGATGAAAACCCTTACATCAAGATGTTTTCATTAAGAATTCTTGTAGCAAGAAAGAAAGGTGTAATGTTACGGGAGAAGTTTTAAAAAGGTTCCACATCTGAGTAAAAAACAGTCATAGGTTATTGAGTCTGAGAATTAACACAACAAGAACAAATTAAAGCATGATGAAAACCCTGAATGCCCTTGGGTTCAAGATTTTGCCCACCTCTCTGATTTGCTTGTGGACAAATTAAAGCTCCCTTTCCTGATCTTGAAAACAAAACAAATAGAGGGAAACTGGAAAGGAAAATATAGCATTTTATCAGAAGTCCAGAGGTCACATGGGGCCCAATTCCAGGCACCCCATCAATTTTGATGCAGGTAACCCAATCATCAGTGCAGATCTCCCAATCCTTATCCTTAATGTGTATATGGGATTTGCATGTGGACAAAAAGTCACATTAACACTTAGCAGTTACAAGACTGCTGGAGTAGTACCAAGTACAGGAATGGCAAAAGAACTATATTTGACATGAAAAAGTAAGACCTACCAACAAGATTCAGTGGCCCATGAGTAAAACCATCAGGGTAAGCTGAGGGCTAAAAACCAATGAAGAAGGAAATACATCACAATGCTTCTTACACTAAGTAACACCTTCAAAATCTTGTTAGAGGCAATACAGGGCTGTCAACTAAGGGGCCGGGTGCCAGGAATTTCCCTCAGCTACTAGGGACATGCCCCCCACCCCACCCCCTTGCCACTTTCAAGGAAAAGTAGAAGAAAAAGAGAACTGGCAACTTGAAATCTTAGTGACAGCCCTAGGTAATGAAAGGCAATTTCAATCATAATAACTTCAAAGCACTAACAGCAGTGCTCGACTTTCAGAAAAAAATCTTGGGGCCAGCTGGCCCCCAAGTTTTCATTTTTTGTCACCAGAACAAGTATTCTGGTCACCAAAAATTGTATTTAAGAATTAATGGATTTAGTTTTGTGAAGGATAACGGATTATCATTAGTGTACATTTTCCCAAAGAAGAAAGTCACCTATCTTGGGGGCCAGGTTGGCGACCAGGCGTGAAAATTGGGTTGCCACTGAGTAAAAGCTGGTCGCATTGGCAACCCCACGGGTCGCAATGTTGAGCCCAGATTAACAGGGGTAGCAAAAAATGGCTCGCATTTATTATCAACAAAACATTGTGCACCTTGTCATATTGGCCCACCTAATGAGTGGCAACATTTCTGACTGGATTCTTAAAAGGTGGCTGGACTAATTGTGAAGTCCCAATGGTGTCCAACATCAATATTCTCCTACACTATCCATACATTGTTAAGAGATTAGGTTATGAGAATTAATAAAATGATCACCAAAGAGAAAATAGCTTGATCTTAAACCAAATTCTCTTAACTCATTCTTTAAGGAAATGTATGAAGACCAGTTTGGAGAATTTGTATGTGGATAATTGGGACTTAAAGGGTTAACTGGAGACTTATGCCTAACCTGATAACTTACATACAAGCAATTTCTTTTTGTTTCTGCTCCTTCTTATGCAAAATTATTTTAGTGTTAAAAAAAACTTACCATGTTAGGGTCCTGAAAAAGTGGTTGGGCAGGAGGCCATGTAGCTAACATGTTTGCTGCTGGAGGGTAGAAAGGAAGTGCCTAACAGAGGGAAAATAAAAAACATCACACTCTTTTAAGAATGCAGTAGAATAGAGTACCAAAGTGATGACGTCATAAAAATGAAATTTCTGAAATTATGGGATTTGTCAGGATATTCTGAAAGAACAATGTCCAAGAGGCCTACTTGCCAAAAATGAGCATTTGGGGGCAAATTGTCTCTGAGATCGTAGCCCAGTTATACTCAGAAAAGTCCATACAAACCCTTCTAATTTTTTGGGGGGGTTTTACAGTTGCGCAAACATGACGGAGTGTATAATCTATTAGGCCATTTGGGACTCCTGTTCTAACAGCAAATTCTCACTTTGAGTCACAGGTCTGCGTGTAACATGGTAAACTTGATTTCAGGTTAATTCTGACTTAACCTAGGTTTATTTTCAATTCCCTTTGTCTCTTAATTTTTAGCCCTCAGAGACAAAGAAAACCGAGAATCAACCTACGTAGATAAAAGAACCTTAACACAAATTAGATGGAAAATCTAGCAGCTGACAGAAATCAACCGAGGCTTAACTCAAGTAACCCTTCAAATAATGAAGGTATAGGTGAGGAAAGGCCTTAAGTGACATCTCTTGATTCAAAAGCATAAACTTGAAAAATCCATCAGTTTAATGCAAGTCCTTTGGCTGAAGTGTTGCATTAGCCTAATCAGGGAGAAAGAAACAACTGCTCATACCTGCTGGCCATTAAAAACTGCAGGAGGAGGGAACTGGAAATGCTGCTGGTTGTAAGTGGCTGGTGGTTCAGTTACTTGTTGCTGTAAAAGAAGAACATTTTGTTTCATGAACTAGTCAATGAAAACAAACTTGAAAGGTCTAAGCTGTTCTACTTTTTAATTGCCTGTTAGTTTCAATACTGTATGGAAAAGTAAACAGGATTCGAAGAAAAAAAGCATGTAAAATTAGGGTTATGGGGCAACATACAGTGAAACTTGTATTAAGAAGACCTCACAATGAGTGCACAGCCTGTATTGAGCGGACAAATAGGAAAGTATGTTTCAAACGTTTCTACCCATACTTTAAATAAAACAAACCAGTATTTAGCGGACACCTCCAGCGAAGGCCCCATTGATGTCTGCCTAATAAAGGTTTCACTGTATTTTACAAAGTTGTACTTACTTGTCTGAGTCCATTTTTTGGCATGTTATAATTATTGCTTTGGTGGATTGGTTTCGCTTTTATTCGGGCCTAGAAGAGATTGATCAACAATAAGCAATGCATAAAAGGAAAGGAAAAATACACAATGATCATTATTCATCACATTCTACAAACAACCTATACAGGGGTTTCAATAGTAGCCGGGTAGCGGGTAGATCTACCCGCTTGCAACGGGCTGATTACCCGCTTGGAGCCTTCACATGAACGTCAACTAAGACCAGATAATTTCATCTCAGCTTCGAATTCTTGCCCAAAAATTTGGCAAAACAGGTTTTGACTACGACTACTTCATTGTAAAATAATTCTCTTCAAATTTGTTTAAATTAGTTGACTTAGGAGCAAAAAAATGTAAAAACAAAGCAACAAAAAAAGACCTGAAAATGCATCTGCGAGAGTCTAGAACTTCAAAATTTTCCGGGGGAGCATGCCCCTGGACCCCCCTAGGGTTGAAGGCCCTTGGGGCCTTTGGCAAATATACCCGCCTGTTACTCTTAAGTACCCACTTATGCAAAAACTTATTGAAACCCCTGCTATATAATGTTATACTTCAATCATTTCAGTCACAAGGTTTTGTGGCTTCAGACAACGTCTTGGGCCACCTTCCTATGCTGCAAAAAGCTAGCTGAGATGGTCTGATGCCCAACCTTTAAGGCCTTGCACTAGACATTCCAGTTTTGCACTTGCGTCTACAAGAAAGGGAGTGGGTTGTTGTTCTCCAACCCTACCCTGCTTCAATTTTCCTGTGAGCATGTTTTTTGCCAAAATGTCTTAAGTATACGTAGCTGTATGTTCAATTCTTGGACCCACTATGGATTGAAAGTATTTATAGAAAATTACTTAGCACAAAAAAATTTTATCACTTTACCTCAGCATTCTGTTACATTAATATCATGAAAGAAAAATTAACTGTACCATAATAGGTTTGCCTCTAAAGGTCTTCACTTCTTCGCGGAGGAATCTGTATGCCTGTAAGACAAGTTTGAAAAACAATTTAGTGATCACCACATTGTCAGTTTATCACCATCACCATCATTCCACTCCTGTCAAGATCCATGATGTGATGCTCACAAATTGGTGTCATTCGACATCACGTCTCCCAATTGCTTATAGGCATGGCTGGTGTCTCTGGTTAGAGTACCAGGAGGTTAGCTGCCTTTTCCCCTAATAGAGCAAGACAATAATTCTTAAATAATTAATCTATGATAATCTGTTCACTTGGCTCTGAAAGAATAGCCAGCAAACATATCTCCCTCATTTCCCCACGTCAATTTTCTGTGCATCCAGAATCCTCCATCCATTGCAATGGTGGGCCACCAAATAAAATCACAGATATTTTTTGGCCGCTAAACGTCATGCCTACGGCGCGATAAATGAAAAATGGCATCACACTGGAAATGTAAGGGCAAAATAGACAATACTTGCATCCTTTTTTACCTATTACCTGTGACTTGGTGGGGTGAATCTTACAAACATTGGTTACATTATATAGGTTAATTTCTCTTATGCTGGAATTTGAGTAATGATCCAGGTAAGAAGGGAACCAATTTCTTTTGTTATGGTGCAATGCTCTTAATTCCTCACATAGAAATATTTTCATTTTTACGCACAGAATACATAAACCTACAAAAAGAGCAGTTTACGAAATAAATGTATTTAAACTCCACTTTTAAGGGTGTTTTTTTGTGTGTGTGTTAAAAGATTTCGACCGATCATAAGAGGTTGCAACCAACAGCCAAGAAAAGTTTACAATTTTACAAGTTCTGCACAAAGGATTTCTGTGTTACTTAGACTCTGACGAGATTGTATTATAAGGAAGTTGGATGGGAAAAAAGGGATTAATATTCATGCTGCTTTGCGAAGATTTCGTAAAATTTGATGTTTAAATCAATAAGAACCTCAGTAGAGACAATAGTAAAGTTAGCACCTTTTTGCATTCCAATGTGCTCATTGTGTTTTGGTCCTTTCCTTCTTATCTGGACCATTACTTAACTAAAACTTACTTTCTTGCCTCAATAGTTTCCTACCTTTTGAGCATCCTCCTCTGAATCAAACTGCACATACCAGTAGTTGTTATGTGCAAAATCAATTCTGGTACAGCTGGGGCAGTTTTCACCAGAAAAAAGGGCTTGAACATCCTAAAATAAAATAATTAAGGTTATAGGCTCATCAACTAGTCAACATTTGCAAATTATTGAAGCCACCCCGTTAATACGGCCAAATTTTCTTTAACCCATTGGTGACCATATTAACGGGGTTCCACTGTCAAAGAAAAACAGAACTAAACAAAATCAAAATCCCTAGCTGTTGGATTCCCCGCCTACTTGTATCATTAGCCCGGCAACTTGAAATTTTAATGACAGCCCTGAACACCATACATCCCATTATAAGCATCCCCCCACCCCTTATCGATCTTTTCTTGAATTTGATCCATTATGACAATTTAAAGCTCAATTAAAAACAAATAAATGTAAAACCAATTTTGATCACTTCTGCTATAGCTTGTTTCAAAGTTCTTTTTCTCTCCGGTTATAAGCCCTTCCATTTGTAAACCCTCCAAAAACCCCTGTCAAAGATGCATATAGTCCAAGGCTTATAAGCGGAAGTTTCCCGTACCTGGTTTAACCAGAACATTTAATAGTAACAAAAGGATTTTGGAACACCATACCTCCACTGGAGTTGACTCAGGAATCTCCCGCAGAACAACTATACATCTTTTTACATTTGGTCGAACTTTTTCTCCTGACTCATCAACTTGCAAATTTGGAGATTCTGTACAAAACAAAACTCAATAAAATTATAAGAGAAATTTCATCTTGAAAGTTTAGAAGCCACGTTGAAATCCCTCTTAAGGGACTAGGTTTGCATGACATACGTTAAAAAGTGGGTTATAAATAACCATGCTTGTGGGTTTATATTATCTTTCTGATCTCTCTTAGTTAAGAGACTGCTGGTACTGGTCATAAGTGTCAAGGACAATGACCAAGGAACAGCAAGGACCAAGGCTTGAAATAACCGCCTGTCAACAGACAATGTCCAACCTGGATGACAACTTGACTAGCCAAAACCTTTAGTGGTGGGTCATGCTGACTGGTCATGCATACTCTCATTCTCGCACAAACAGCCAAATCCTCATCTGTAAATCTTAGATTTTGTCTCTTTGTAAAAATACATTAAATTACTGTCACCAATCAAAAAGAATAAGTTAACACCAGGATAACCTTTTTCCAATATTTGTACCAGTCAGAAACAAGGCTTGACCGAGAGAAAATTTCTTTGGCCAGTCATCGTGTCCTGCCACTGTCTGAAAATTACTTTGAGCCCTGGGATCATAACTAGCTGCAAATTCTTCAAGAAGGTGTTCTTATGAGGAAAATCATAAAGTGACAATCAAGACTCACCTCTCATGACATTCTTTACAAGGTCAAGATCCTTTGTCAGTTTTTTAACCTGCAAGATATCTACATAGTATTACTATTGTGCTTCCTGTCATTTTGGATTAAGTTGGCAAGAAATTTTTAAGAAAACTGTACAGTACAAAAGGGCAGGGCAATAATGTAAGGATGAAAATGGCTGACATGCAGCAAAAAGCAGTAACATGCCTGATTAAAATTTGCTACGGTCCATATGGGAACATATTGATCACCATCCATCTGAGAAACTGCAAAAAAAAACAAAAACAAAAAAATTGAAATTAATAAAATGTATAATGCTTGAACTCACATAACCCTTTTAATAAAGGGGAGACTCCAAAATAAAATATCAAGAACAACACAGGAAATCCCATAGAAATGCAGCACCCAGAGTTATGTAGATGATACGAAACTCATCACTTCCTTCGAGCTTAAAGCCAACCTGGATGCAATTGCTGATTTGGAAGACGACCTGTTTAAAATAGGGGAATGGTGTTCCAACAATCAATTGTTACTAAACCCTGGCAAAACCAAGTTGATGATATTTGGCAGCAGGCAGATGCGTGCAAAATTCCAATTTCGTTACCTTTCCTTTATGGGTAAGGACATTGTCCCTACAGACACCGCCAAAGACCTTGGTGTGACTTTGGATTCTAATTTAACTTACGATGAACATATAATTAAAACCGCTTCCTCGTGCATGTCCCGCCTTGGCCAGATAAACCGTGTCAAGCATGTCTTCGACAAACGTACACTTTTGATGATTATTAATTCCTTGGTTTTTAGCAGGTTATTTTATTGCTCCGATGTTTGGTCAAATACCTCAAAATGTAATGTCAACAAGTTACAGGCAGTGCAGAACTTAGCATGCCGCATTGTTAGCGGCGTAAATTTGACCATGTTACACCAATTCGCAAGGAGCTAAATTGGCTTTCAGTTCCCAGTCAGCTTTATTACCGGAACGCTACAATAGCTTTTAAATGTATGACCGGTCAAGCCCCTGAAGACCTTACATCAAAATTCATAAAGCGAGCAGAGGTTAGCCGACGTAGCACCAGAAATTCACAGCTTTTACAAATCCCCTTTTTTAGAACAGCTGCCGGTCAGAGAACATTTTTCTATAGAACTGTGAACTTATGGAACTCCTTAGACAATTCCTTTAAACTGTGTAACTCGATTGATGTTTTTAAAACTCGTTTACGTACTAAATTACTTAAAGAATTGTAATTTTATATATATTTTAAAACATTTTTAATTGTAAATAGGATCATGTATTGTCTTTGAAAAGCCCCTTGGGAAAGTCAATAAAGTATGTATGTATGTATGTATGTAACACTTTGAAATGTTATATCTACAATTCGTAGAACAATACAGTCAGGTTCCCTTATTTATGACGGACATCCCTTTATAGCAGAAACAGACACACAAAGGACCCTCACTAAATTTTGAAACAGCCATAGCAAATGAAGATTCACCTGTACCTATCACTAGTTTTTATTTCATTTCATTGTGTTTTTTAATTTTTTTTAGAGGGCCACATGTTTATCAGTAATTTTAATTACTGTCACCTGTAACCCTGGTTAAATAAAGTCGCTTATCTTGTCTTAACATCCCACAAAAAGTTTATATTGTCATCTTTATCTTTCTACTTTGATCACCCTTCAGTCATTTTATCTGACAATTTGACAACCTTTGTGGTGTCCATCTAAAAGGGAATTGACAGTATGGCTAAAAAGATTACAATATCCAGAGACACCACTTCTATACATGTTTTTGATATTAGGGGAATTTTCAGTCACTCACTTTCTTTGAAACACCACTGTCACTTGTGTACCGTTACAAATTTTGCTGGCAAGTGATGTCAGAAAAATTAAAGCAATGAATTTTGTGGACCTTACATGTGTGAAATTTTGGATATTGAGAAGTTGTAAATTTATAAAGACCCATTAAGAAAATAAGGGGACACAAGGTACTACCCTAATCAACTTACCTAAATAGGTATCACTTGCTAAATTCTCCCTGCAAATTTAAAAAATGACAAGGAAAATTAACTTCTGAACAGGAAAATTACACTGGACATTATGTAACTACAGGAAATATCTAAACCCATCCTCCCTTGTGACTCTAAGATGTTCTCAGTTGAAGGTAAATATGGAAGTAAAATAATGTTCCTTAAGTTTGTTTACATGTTCTTGCAAATTAATTACCTGGAAAAGTAGAACTCCAACTGATGTCTAAGAAGAACTTTCAATTCTTCAATAGGAAGCTTATCAGGCGACAATTCCGAAGGAACAGGCATGACTTCTGGGGTTACTGGGTTACTATAAGGACCATAACCATTCATTGCTGCATTAGGACTGTACTGCATATTGTGCAGCTCGTTAGAAGGAGCAGTCTCGGGCCATTGATCAGGGGGAGTCACTGGAGGAGTGACAAGGGTAACAACTGAACCATCTGTACCATCAGAAAGTGTCATGTGACTAGAACAAAAAATAATTCATCAACAATTTGCCACTTTAAAAACAAGAGGGAGACTAAGCCAAGTGAACTTTTGCAAAGAATTCTGGGACTGTCACTAAGGATGGAAAAAAACATTGGTCAAAAGCTGACTAGCACATCCCCAGTAATAATACCAGAAACAACTGGCACACATTCTGGCTCCAGTTTCCTTCTGGTTTTTAAAGCAGGGAATACTTAGGAAGTTCACCACTAAATCAATTCTATATTATATGTAAATACACCGATGTCTAAACCACAAAGCAAATTACAGGGACTTAACTCTAAAATAGCCAGTGACAAAAACTACAGAAACAGAAAAGCAGTATTCCAATACACAGGGATTGAAATAACTAACTGCTAAGTGACAATCATGCTGTCCAATCAAACTTGCTTTTGCTTGGATACAACCCATTTTTTGGCCATTAAAAATTGGTAAAGCAATAGCTCAAGAAGAAATTCATGGAATATAATTATGACGCAATCCACCAGGAAATCGAGTAATTTTAATTTGGAGTGAACAAAAGGCTTGTAACAGAATAATTTAAAGCATATTGCATTCTTTTTAAAATTTTTTAAGGGCTAAACATGTAATTAGTCATCTGTAGTAACACCAAAGAAAATTTCTTACGGTAGCCCGAGAACTGGAAGGTCAAATTTCACAAGAATTGTGAAAACACAGGTAAAATTTTGAACATTTCATGTGTAAGATGTAATTTTGTGAAATTTGACATTCATTTTCTTGGGTACTCATAAGAAATTTTCTTTAGTGTTATTACAGATGACTAATTACATCTTTAGCCCTTGAAAAATATAAAAAAGAATGCAATATTCTTTAAATTATTCTGGTACAAGGTTTTTGTACACTGAAAATTAAAGTTACTCAATTTCCGGGTGGATTCCATCTTAATGCTTTCTTTCCCACAGTCTAGTGTGGTAGTATGGAACAACTCCTACTTTTGACTGGGCATTGTCTGTCGACAGCCATTAATTCAAGCCCTCATTCTCACGTGCAATTTAAAATATACATGCATGCATTTATGTTATTTTTTAATACATTGTTCCAAGCCCGCAAATAACTTTTAGATATAGGGTGATCATTTGACCGCACAAGGACCAGGTTTTGTGGGTCAAGACACCAGTCTGGTAGGTCAAAAAAAGGAAAAAAGGAAGAGAGAGCGACAGACCAAGCCAAGCTTTTGCCCGTCAAAATCTGAAATTTGTTGGTCATTTGACCGATGACTGGCCGTTATTTGCAGGCTTGTTGTTCCAAAAGAAGACTTTGATCACAGTCTGCATCTATGTTGTGGTTCAATTTTATCCTTGGTTTAAATTTTATTTCTCTTTGTTTTTGGGTATGGTAATGTATGATAATGAGTATGAAACAAAGGAAAATAAAATTTAAACCAAGGATAAAATTGAACCACAACATCAATATAATTTTGTGATTATAGATGAGACATAACCTGGCGTAGCAATTTGGTTGCATTATTGCTAACCTGACAGAACTTTTCATACTTGCTTATTAAATTTTTGCTTGAGGAACAGAGAAACTTCACACCAATCCACACACGAGAGTTAATTATGTTGCATGTCCTCACTGAGGGTGTAAATTTATGTCCTTATAACATTTATCTTAAGATAAACAAATTAATCCATAGCAAAATTTTTGTGCAGAAAACCTAGTAACAAAGTTGTACAACAAAGGCTTCTATATATGATGGATAATTATAAAAGTATGTCAAAACTAAGATATTTATACATGTATGACATGACTAAAAAAAGTTAACCAGCTATAAAAACTACAATCACAAGTGATAATCTTTTGTTTTCAAATTATCACAAATTACTCATTAAAGCCATGACAAAAACAAGAAACCAAAAGATGTGTTTTCTAACTTGATTTAAACATCACACCTTAAACAATCAAAGACAGCAGCATTAGGGTTCAGAGACCCTTTGGCATTTGACTGGCCAACCTAGAAAAGAAATTTTATGAATATATCAGCCGTAGGAAGAACAGAGTTTTCTAGATTAGAAAATTGTACCTCAAAGTATAGGAAATCCTGTTACCCAACAATAAATGTATCACTATTATAACAGACATTTCAGACTATTTTTAAGTAGATGAGGAGCGTTTTAAATAAAAAATCCTTCAAAGTACTCCCCAATAAACTCATCCTTACAAAAACATCTGCAGCGCAAATAAACAGCTCACACGGTCGAATTTGGGCTCACAATAAAAGAAACCCTCCCACCAAAGGTCGAGTAGAGGTTCACATTCAGAAAATATTTGTATCAAAACGGTTAACGACTTTTAAGTTAACTGCTACAAACTCAACGTACCAGAAATATTTTCTCGTTACTCTTCATGGAATAAAATTGTACTCAATTCAAGATTAATCACAAATAAAGAGCGAGTTGTGTTCTTGTTGCGAGGACAATCTATGGACTCCAACAAACAAACAAACTCAAAAAAACGTAACACAAAACAACGATTTACGTTCAGATTCGCAGCTTGAGTAATGTTCCGGCATTAAAAAAGGAAGGAAAATATCAAATCTTCAATTAAACATGGCTAAAAATAACACAAGCGCCTTTAAGGAGGATGATACGAAAAAAACCTTATTTATGCGCGACAAAACTGATAATATTCTGGTCTTACGATCCTATAAAGAGATCACAGCTCGTTTGCTATTCTCGATCGACTTACTTCGAAGAAATCGGGCTATATTATGCAACTAAAAATATAAAGGGTTTCTTCCAAGTTTTTTTCCGGAAGTTCAGGACTGAATGGCTTTCCTCTCTAAGCCCAAACCACGGTTGTAAGGAAACGAAAACCGAGAGAAATTTTCGTGTGACGAAATATTGTAGGTAACGTTTGAAGCAACAGTACACTTTGGAGAAAACAAAGTACAAAATGGCTTGTCCAAGGCAATATGGCCAGTACAAAAGAGCTTAACTGATAAGGCTGCGCCGAAGAATCTTAAATAGAGGATTCTAACGTCTTAATTCTATGACTGTGAGTAATATTTAACATGAACTGTGGAGAACAAGCATATGCAGGTATTATGTGCTTTACAAAGATTTGCCTTGCTAGCCATATTGAACAAGAGATCTCTCAAAATATTATTAAATAGAGCCGTTTGTCATGCCATTAATTTCCCGGAACACCCATCTAAGATCAAGAAAAGGGTTTATCAGAAAAGCTGCGCTAAAAATATGATTTTAAAAACATCACTTTCGAAATGTCTACAAAATTTAAAGAATACCTACCACGTCGTCTGGTGTTGTACTGACTATACTTTCAGCGGAATTCTTGGTTTTAGCTGAACTCATACGGCTCAAAAACCAATCCAGTAGACAAGTTTCGAGAAAGCGTCACTAGAACTCCTTTGCTGCGAGGTTTCCTCCTCACAAAATTTGCTCTTCACACGAAAAGTTGACTGGCAGGAAGGAGCGATTCAACCAACACCAGTTAAAAAGAGGGCGCTGATAATGGCTAACTATCGGTGTCTTTAAAGTCGCTTTTTATGACGTGAAGCACCAGAAACACCACACAAACCAAACCAGAACTAGTAAACAAGAAAACAGATTGACTTGGAGTTACACTAGTTACTTCCAGGAATTATTATACAAGAAATAATCCAGAATTTCCTTTACATCCGACACACGTGGCGACGAGAAATGTATTTGCAAAGCAAGATCCTCACAGATCACTGCCAAGGTTTTCGTTTGAAGTAGTCGCTCACCTGGACATACGATATTCAAGCAGAGCAAAAAGTGGTGAAAAGGGGCTTCGATTTGAAAGGGTGCTGTTCTGAAGCAGTTCTGGGAAACCAAGTCAAGTATGGCGAACTCCTTCTTCCGATTCCTCTCGCTCACTCTTCGCAGCGCCACACAACACAACCAACTTTGATCTCTCCCACTCGTAACCCCACTCGAGAATCTAACAAGAGCTTTGATTGGTCAAATGAAGTTCAGCCAGTACGTTGGCCAATCACGTTGATTGAAAGAAACTCATTATCTGAGTTAATGGCTCCTTCGCGCCAAAAAGACGCGACCATCCCTCGGGTCCCCGGTGGTGACACTGCAATCTCGAGCAGTTTTGCTTCTTTTTCGTTTCAGATAGTCAACGAATCTTCTTTGGTCTATACAAAAAAGGTATAGTGTATAATAGCCTGGTTAGGTAGAGGTTCTTTCCTCCAAACCTCTGAATGCACAAGTGGATTAATCAAAATCCCGAATGTTAAATAAAATGCTGGTATAAAACTGATCCTAAACGGCAAGAAGACTAAGGAAATGAGAAAAAATGAAAAAGAAACGGGACTACAACTACCGAATACGCACGTGCATACCTGAATAAATATCAAAGATTAAAAAAGACAAAACAGAAAAATGAAACGAAAGAAAAGCATTTAGTGAGCGAAAGTGAAATGAGCGGATAGCTGAAAAAAAGACCAATCCTTTGTACTTCATTTCAGAACGAAATGTAGTGTTTTCCCCCTGATATTAAATTTTATTATACGCACAAACAGGCGACTCTGAAACGGTTGCATGTGGAACGTTGTCTAACGACAGAGAGAACCCAGAAAGATGATTTATATCTTACCTACTGCTAGAAAAGGAAAATTGATCAAATCACGCTCGAAGGGTGACCCCTAAACCCAGCGAATTACGTACGGCCAACGTAATGCTGTGGCTTTTTAAAGTACTAGCTGAAAAGTTAAGATTATTGTCAATCCCGTTCCCAGGGAAGCACATTGAAATCTGCAAGGCTGATCGTTCCCTGGGCTCTGGGATCTAGAATGCAGTACTCATATCTTCGGACTCAAAAAGTCAGAACTGGCCGGCTGGACCATGTCCGGAGCGGTCATTTTGACAAAGCAATAAAATTTTTCCAAGAGTTTTTGCTGAAAAGCCATCTCCTTCGTGCATTCTATTTAGGATTTGACTAATGTGGCTGGATACTTTTGATTAAAAGTGAAATTCTAATTACAACGGGAATGGTCTGGCTGGTCAGTTCTGACAAATGAAAGGCGCTTTTTGTCGCCGAGCCCGTAAAATGTTCAAAGATTTCAGCCTGCTGTCTCAGACCGAGCCCCTGAAACGGGTTTATGACGGATGCAGGTTCGTCACTGTTTGTTTCAGCTTTGGTATCTTCAATAATGCATAGATCACCACAAAGTCCACTGTTTTTCTCAGGTTAAACTAGATTTCGCCAGGAAAATTAGTTGATGTTCCCCAACCTCGTCCCCAGTTCCTTTTCCCACCCACCCATTTTTTAAGGGAAAAGCCCTGGGGACGAGGTTGGAAGTTCCCCCCGTCCCCCGCCCTGTTAAGAAACGAATCGTGGCGTCATTTCAAGGGGATGAAAAATCGAAGTTTTTATGAAGTCTTCCTCCGTCGTGATGTTATCGGTCACGTGATTGATCGCTCCTACCATCTATTTAATAATGAAAACGAAAACGCTTCAATCGAAGCAAAAGCATGAAAAGATATTAAAAGCAAGTTTTTGTATTCATAACCCCTTCAGCTACGCTTCTTAAATTTGCTTGCTTACAATTATTTATCAATTGCCGGTTGCGTGAACACATGTAGGGTAGGTTTCGGTTACAGCTCTTTCCACCTTAAGCGCGCAGAGGATGTTGGGAAGAGGAAAAAGGCGGGAAGCGAGAACACTCTTGTTGCCAGGGCGGCCCTACTCGTTGCATTCCTATCGCCTTCCGCGCATTCTGCGCCCTTTTTCTTCCTCTCTCCCATCCTCTTAGCAGCAAAAAGTGGCCTCTACAGAGGATTTTATAATCGATACTTTCAGTGGCGGATGCAAACCTTCAGATAAGTTGGGGGGTGGTCATTCAGACCCTGCGATAAGGGGGGAGGCGGTCTCAAAAAAATATATTTTTCCGCCCCTTCGGGCCTCAGTTTGGTCTAAAAATAAGGGGGAGGCACGGGCCCCGCAGACCCCTCCCCTTGATCCGCCACTGAGTTTATGGTACACAAAACTTGTGCACCGTACCAAGTGTGTTTCTCACAAGGCTTTCCTTAAAGTCTTGTCATGGATATCTGATGTCCTTATTTACTGTAACTATATCAGATTTATCATGTTTTGACCACTTTTTGTACCCAAGCATGTCCATGAGATCCCCACACGTATCTTCTACAGTCCTTATGAAAACCTCGGAAGCATTTTTCCACTTGTTAATGACAAATGACGCATTTCTGTAAAGGGAGTATGGATCCCTCGCGGATGTTTTACTGCTCCGTCTTGAGTGTTTAGCTATCCATTGTTCAACACTCTCCGACCAATCAAATCCCGCGAATCTAAACAGTTCTTGTGCTGTATTGATAGTATTCAACGCGAGATCTTCGTAGCGAACAACTTTAAAGCGGTTTTTAAGCCATGGTGGGGGAGACAAACCAAAACGTATATTTTGAATTATGGGATTGCAAACCCTATGAACAAATTTACGAAACTTTGAATCCAGAGGTGAGTCAGTTATCCAACGTGCAGACTCTGCCATGGAATAAAGAAGAGCCCTAGGATCGCGAAATAGGAGAATAAGCTTCGCATCATACCGATCAATCCTTTTGAATAACTCTTCTAAACTTTCTATAACCTTGTTGGGGACTCGATCAGTTAAAATCTTGATAACCGTATGGTTGTAAGAGTTGCAAGCTTTCCGAAGCAGAGACCTTGTGAAAGGTAAGCATTTGTCCGGGCATAAATAGCCACTGGTTTGCGCTCTACTGCGCTTACGAAACATGCTGTTAGAAAATGCCGTTATAGCTAAATCACTGATGTTGCTAAAATCGCAATCAAACATGCTGTTGATTACTCCGACTGAAGTTTGACTGTAATTTTTCGGCTCTTCTCCTTCTATGAACTTTATTACATCAGCTTTTAATATTTCTGTGATGACTGTGTGGAGAGGCTCGAACCAATACATAACATATGGACTGCTGTCAAAAATACCACCAAGGAAAGAAGACCCTCCTCTGCCTGGACTTAATATGATGAGATTTTTCCTCGTTGCCACTGAATTTGGTTGAGATTGTAGTGTACTTAAGTTCCTCAAATTGTTGCGTATTTGGCTGGCTTCTGCCCGTGAAGATTGCTCTTTGATGTAGTCTCCTTTTTCCTTGGCATTAATTTGAAAAACTGCTGTTCTTTCTATGATATGATAAAACAAACAGTAACTGAACAAATACCGAAATGAAGCAAGAGTTTCAATGTGAAGACTAGGGAGGGTTTACGTTCGAACTGGACACAACCTCGTTCAAGGACCCTCTCTCTCTCTCTCTCTCTTCCTCTATCAATTGCAAGAGACGGCTCCCAGGGTTAAAAACTGGAGAACCCGGAGATATCGAAAAACATTAGAGTAGAGCGCCGAGACACAACGTTGCATAGACCGAGAATCGAACCTGCATTATAGTCGTCACGAGAACGTGAGAGCGCCGCTGTAAGCAACCTCGTTCCCAGGGTGCTGTTCTACTCGTCGCTACCCTGGGAACGAAGATGCACTGTGAGCAGGTTTAGTTTGCATAATGTATCTTAGGATTATGGGAATTCGTAAGTCTTGTTTCAAAACAAAAGGATAGTGTTCTAGGACAACCATCGAACCATCGAACAATGAGAATGTTTTCAACTAGCCCCAGGCTCTCGGGGCTCTGTATCTTATGCTTGAGAATTGTTTTTTATAACTGGTTATCAAGGTAATATTTTTGTTCCAACACTACCGCCGAAATAGCTAATATTCCCAATAAAACAATTTAATATCTTAAATAAACCTTTTATCAATTAAAAACCTCCATACCGAAAATGATCTAAGGCCCTTATATCACTAAAAAATCTCGGAAAATGATGGCCAGTAGTGAAAGAAAAAACCGCAATAAAAAAAAACTTACACCTAACCAATTTTGTCATCTTGACCAACGAAACTTGGTCAGTCACGCACTCTTTATATACTTACTCTTGTTGCTAGTATTCAAGTGATACATTCTTGGATTGGTGTAGAAGATTGTACTCCATTGTGGCGTTAAAAAATTGTCGAAAATCATGACGTAGAGCAAACCCAAAGCGGCACAAGACACAGCAATGACAAACAACACCCGATAACTCATCAAAAGGTTTTGGCTACGAAACTTCATCTCATCAGCCTTTATCTAGAAAAAAAGACAAAACAGCGAAAAATAGACATGAATTGATTTTATGAATAGCTAGCTGTGTTCATTTTCCCCCGTGAAGGGGTCGATTACACTCTAGTTTCTCCCTTGTGCGTACAATAATTGGAACGGAAAGCGTAAATCATGATTAAAAAATAGCTTGAAATATAATTTCTTTAATTTTAAATAGAGAAGACAAGATTTCAGTGTTTCGAACGACCGTTTTGAAAATAGACAATTTGCATAATTTTTATCGAGCTTTTGGCCAGGTTTTTCCCTGATTTCAAGGCAGTTTACCATTTTTCGCTAAAACCGCACAGACTCACTGGAACTTCTGAATTGTTTTTGAAAATTAAATTATGTGAAAAAACTCAATGTAACACCGACTTTTCACGAATCAACTGATCAGAGCAGAGTTAAATCTTCAGATTTCTAGAAAAATTAATTTAAGCCTGTTTCAAACGTCGTGCTACTGCTGTGCTAAGCTTGCTCGAGTGTAGCTCGACTGCAGCACCACACACTAGCTAGCGCGACTTGGTTTCAGACGTCGAATTTAATACCGGCAAATAGAACGCTACTGCCCTCTCTCGTTGCCACTTCAGCAACACCCCAGAAGAAACCCGATGATGTAAATTCAGGACGGATTGCTTTATGAAGGTTTGGCAAAGTAGAGTCGTCGTCCTCGATGTAATAGTCAACTTAATCATCTATCCAATCAAAGACATATTGATGAGCAGACACTTTGGCTGTTGCCGAAAACAACACACAAAAATAAAGAAACGGTTTAGCAAACTTTTAAATGTGTTCTATTGATTTATATATTTATGAATTGAGTTCGGCACCGCAGTGGCACGACGTTTGAAACCAACCAAGTCGAGCGACTGCCGTGAAGTACGGCAAAGCTCGTCGTGCTCAGTACACGACAGTAGCACGAAGTCCAATTTAATTCGATCAATTGAGTCCGCACGGTAGTAGCACGACCTTTGAAACGGGCCTTAAAAATCTCGGGGTGTAAACTAAATCTGCTCGCAAGGCAAAAACGTTTTGAACAATTACATGAATTTTTAAAACTAATAAAAAAGTACTAAAAAATTACTTCCTTACTTCAGTTCAGTTATCAGATCCTTGAAACGTTTTCCCTAATATTAATGATCAAGCGTAACGAAAGTAACTTTTGGTGAGGCTGTATCAATATTTAACGAGTGTTTTCCTCTTAGGTGTAAATTTCTATGGTTACTGATTCAAATTTGCTTCTTTAACGTATTTGTGCGAAGTAGCAAGAAGTCTAGCAGGCTCTCTTACACCACGTAAAATTTTTCATGGTTAAAAGACACTGATTTTGCTCCAAGTTTTTGCAGAATTTTTGTCTGCTTTGTTTTCAAGATGCAATATTTATTTTAGCGCTCTGATTTTTTGCTTCAGGTGATTCTTTTCTACGTACACATTCAAGGGTCATTTGCATTGTTCAATCGCTTAAATCATCATTAAACATCGTTAGGGGGATTAAGGTGTCATTAGCAAATATTTTCTGCTCGTTTTCTTACGACAGCAAAGTGAACGTCAAAAAGGCAATAGGTTTAATTATTACGGACAAAAACACAGCAACATGTCTTCGTGTAGTATTCTTTTTCTACATATATTTGCCGTCACTACATAATTACGACGTGATTTCTCTTACGTGACGTTTTATGGGGGACGTAAGGCAACTAGCCTGCGAAAACAACCGTTTCTCCTCGCCCTTCGCTGCTGGAACGTTCAGCGGCGAAGAGCGAGGAGAAACGGATGTTTTCGCAGGCTATAAAGCAACGAGTAACAAATTTTTCCTTCTTCTTTTCTAAACTTGAGTTCGGTTCCCAAGAATTCAGTCATTTCCCCTCAGGGAAATTCATGTAAAGTTTGCATTTTTAACGAGTTAGAATGATCGCCATAAAGTTTAAAAGTGTCTTTAACAGTCTAGTTAAGTTTTATTTTCACTGCTATCAAGCTGTATACATATCCTCTCTATCTCCTACACAGGCAATTTTCATAGTGTTACCTGCGCTCGTAACATCTAAAACTCCCTTTGATTGGATGGATCGACGAGAGGGCAAGATGAAAAAAAATCTAACCAATCACATGTAACGCTTGTCCACCCAAACGATCCCAGAGATCCTTGCGCCGAAAGCTTGTACCCTTTCCCTTATAGTTTCTGGAGTGGGGAATTGTTTACCGATTTCAGTTTGCTCCTAAACATAGTCTAATACGAAGTCACCCAGAGAATAAGTCGCCGTATATACAAGTATTAAAGTTCAAAAATTGAAAAGGTCAACCTCTTGTTAAACTTGGGCCAGCATTTAAATTTATTGGAACAAAAGAAAGCGTTTGCATAAGAAAAGAGTTCAACTCCCACAGGATCGGTTTGGGACACCAACATGGTCGCCGTTTCATTGTTTTGGGACACCAATATGGCCGCCGTGACGTCATGTGAAAACACTCTATAAAGGAAAATAGCATGCAGCCATCGCCGAAAAACTGCGAAAATGCTCTGTGCAATTCTTTGTAAAATTTCGACTTTTTTAAAAACGAGTTTGTCCCAAACTGTTCAGTAAATGGGTTCAAATTTTTACAGATAACTTTATGGTTATTCTCTGCCAATATTCAGTGATGTTATCAGAGAATAAATGAATGAATGGGATACAGTTTCGAACCCAGGCCTTGTAGCCGTTCGCTTGGTACCGCCGCGTGCTCAGTTGAGACTATCGGTTTATCAATAAACGGATGTTAAGACTTGTTAAACCAGTTTGACGACAAATAACTTGACTAGTCCATAATTAAGTTCGGGCTTCAGTGAATTAAAAGGCTTGACTTTGCTCCTCTCAAGAACCCTGTTTGCAGGGTGGTACGGTGGCACACACGGCTGAGTGCTACGACAGTTGATCAGCAACGATACCACTTGATGCAGTGCGAGCGAAACGCTAGTCTGCTACACAGCCGTTTTTAGTGTCGTCACGCAACGCTCCTCCCCACAAGCGCGCGTGAAAATCATCTCACGCGAGAAAGGCGAGACGCGGCGATGAGAGAGAAAAATTTCGCTCGGTCTACTATCTCTGAGGAAAAATGAGGACTACTCGTAGTCTACCAAACCCCCAACTCTAAAACTTTCCTTGTCAAAGCCTTACAGTTGGAATCTCTCGTGAGCTTCCGCGACCAGTTTTCTGGGAAATATTTTTTCATTGTTTTTAACCTCTTGTAAGCGACTACTTGATGCATGATGTTCGCTGTATGTAATGCAGTAAGACCTCGCCACTAAGATCGTCAGTGGATTTTAAGAACCTGTTAGGCTAAGATTTGCCAGTTAGGACCCCTCTATACAAGAACCTTTTTAGCCTAAAATTTGAAACATTGCTAAAATCTATGAAAATTCTGTGCACTTAAAGCCTGAACATGTGCTAACTAAAACTGAGGATCCAGGTTCTTAGTCGCGGGGTTTTTGCGCTACTTGGAGTATCACTCTTAGCGACAACATAGAGCTACACATAGAAAGATATGTTCGGACCTACACACCCCTATTCTTGTAAACGACCATCCTCGAAAGATATGTTCGGACCTCGTCTAGGCACGAAGCCCCTGGGGACAATGTCTTACCAGACCAGTTCCAAACGGTTGGACCCCTTCTGATTGGGCAGAAAAACACAAAAGTTTTCTGGTTGGATTCTTCTTGGATTCTTGTAAACGACTACCTTCTGTATTAAATTATTATAATCGAACGACTTTGTATTTTGGAGGGTCTCTTGCGGGAGGTTGGACTGTATTTTTTAATATTTTCATTTTATCAGACTTTTTTCCTAAGGGAGTCCTCCGTCATCATGTCCACATGGGGCTGGGGCAAGGGAATTTATGATAGGAGCCACGTGACCAAAAGCACATGATCAGTTTCGCGCCAAATTACGCGTTGGTTTTAGAGCGATCGAGTTCTGCAGGCGGATTTTACGAGGGCTGAAAATCTGATCACTGTTTCAAACTTTCCATCAAAGATGCCAGTGACTCAAGAGGAAAGTGAATATGAGAAGCAGCGACGTTTAAGGATTGCAGAAAACCAAGCTATGATCGACAGTCTTTTTCCTAAAGAGTTCAAGATGCCCGCCCTATCTTGCGCGAAATCGCCGAAGGCTGGTCGCGTGAAGAAACGAAGGTCAGATATTCCGGATATTTTGCTGCCCAGAAGAAAACTTCCAAAACGAAAAGCGAGATCTTATGTCAGCAAGTATGATTCAGATAACGAGGACGCCGAAGACGTTGAAAACACCGAAGAAAATGTGTACTCACCCAATACCATGATCGTCAAATTATGGCCGTCTTTGCACAACAAACGCGGCAGACGAAGCTCGAGTGCATCAGACAGCGAGGATTCGGGCGATTCCTCCCCGAAACGTAAGCGTCGATCGCCAAAGCGACAGCCTAAACCAGTGATAGAGATCACCGAAGAAGATTTGATCTTGGTAGCAGAGCGAGTAGCTGACAAGAATTACGACGCCGAGAATGGTACAACGTGTCATCAATGCCGACAGAAAACCGACGATCTCAAAACGGCGTGTAGAAATCCGGCATGTGTTGGTGTACGAGGTCAATTTTGTGGACCGTGCCTCAGGAATCGGTACGGAGAAGATGCCAAGAAAGCTTTGATGGATCCGGCATGGCATTGTCCGCCATGTCGAGGAATTTGTAACTGCAGCTTTTGCATGAAGAAGCGGGGTCGCCGATGCACCGGAATTATGATTCATCTGGCCAAGGAACGTGGTTATAACGACGTGAAATCTTTCTTGGGCGATTAGTGCATGCTGTGAAGTTTTAAGCCGATTGTAATGAAGTTTGTATTAGAAATACAAACAGTTTTTGTGTTTTTTATTGTTTAGTTAATTACAATAAGAAGCTTATGTACTCTAGTTTAATACTCTGTAAAATTAAAGCAAACTTATCGAATGTAATATTTTAAGTTTATTTCCTCATCATTCAAATTTTATTAGTCCAATGTAAAGATATTTTAAGACGATTTTCACGAATCTAAAATAAATTGCTCATGAAAAGAAGTGACTGTTGATTCATTGATGTGAATATGATTCACTTGACTGGTTTTCAAAGCTCTAGAGCTTATTATGCAAAAACTAAAAAAGGCAACCTGAGATTGTTTATTGATTCATTGATGTAATAGCTGAATCTAATAAACATAGCAAATCAAACTTTAATAGCAGGTCAAATATTCCATACGACAGCGGGGACGGTGGGTGATCTTGTAAACTATTTGCGTGATTGAAAAAATGTGATATGAATATTAAAAAGTTACAGATGATGAAACCAAGCTGATTAATAGGTATAAGTTAATTATTGTTGCAATATTATTATTGTTCTTTTGTGAACCCATCGCATCACAAGCCCCTTTTACAAGCACAATTTACAAGTGTAGCTATTTATTTTCGTCTCTTAAACAATGTACACACCTGTAAATTACACTTGTAAAAGTTTTATTAAATTGGCCTCAGGTTTGATTTTCATTTCTTGATAATAACTTGCTCCTGCTCACTGAAGTGAAAACCCAGAATCAAGTAAACTATGTTTTTGGCAGTGCAGAACTTAATATACTGCATCGGTATCTTTGAAGTTGCCCGTAGAACCTGGTTTTTATATGAAGAGAAAATTCCAGACAATTGTGGATTTTATTGTTTCCTGGCTGTCCCAAATTTTTCCACCTTATGGAAACTTGACATCACCTATTGTCTGGGACTGAGGTCAGGGACAAATCAGGAGAGGAACGTTTCCATATTCCTGATGCAGCCCAGATTTCCGCAATAGTCAATAATTGTTCCTGAAAAAATCTGTAAAATCTGGGATGATAGCAAAAACTTCGAAATCCTGACATCTCGGAATTTTCCTGACATAGACGAACCAGGCACCACCTCCACCCCCTAAATATTGTGTTCTGGTAAGAATTGTCTTGACTGTCTTTTATTCCTCCTCAGCAAACTGTGATACCCCAGAGAAATGTACCCAATGGTTATGCAAAATTTTGTGGAACAAACAAAATGAAAATGGGCAATGCCAAAATGGTGAATAAAAACTTTTCTGCCACTTGTCCTTTGAAGATAATGCACACACAGCTAATCTACTAGCACTTCCCGGGTGTCTTTGAATGAGTGGATTATTCATATTATACTGTATATGTTCAGAGTTTCAGATGCTGTCGTTTTCATTTATAATTTTGCATATTTGATCACTGTAGTTTCTCCGCCTTTAGCAAATGTTTTGGATGGAGACAATTCCTTTATTAGAATATTACAGGTTTTGAGCTCAGTCAGGATTTCTTTGGAGTCAGTTCTAAAAGAGGAATGAAAATTCCACGTTAGTTTGAGGAAGTGTGTGTAGGGTTTGTTGTGACGTAGGATTCAGGTGCAGATCTAGGATCGATACTGAACGATTTCCTAGATGAGCACCAAAGATGCAAGCTTCTAGGGGTATCTGGGGCATGCTGCCCCTTGAGAAAGTTTTTGGGTTTTAACTCCCCAAAGTCCCCTTTCCTGGGTTTCTGAATCATTTGGACAGGGTATTGGCTGGATTTCAACTTGGAAAGTCTTATTATTATTAAAATACACTTAGTTATTAAAAATCTGACCAATTTTCCTAAAACAGTGGAAACTGGTGTGGATTCGCACCTGGGATTGGGATGTTCTCGCAACACCATCATATTGGCATATTTACTTCAATAATGCATCAAGTTTTTGCATTGACCAGTTTTTCAAGAATATTTGGTACTACTGGAAGAAATTACCGTAAAATTCCGAAAATAAGCTCCTCCATATATAAGCCCATCCAAGTATAAGCCCCTTAAACCCTCCGTTAAATCGCCCCTCCGAATATAAGCCCCCAAGGGGGCTTGTACATGGAATTTGCTCTCAAATACAAAGTAAACCAAAGCAAAAATGGTAAATTTCCTTCCCAGTACAAGCTAACCCAATCGATTTTGATTTCCCTCCGTACATAAGTCCCTCCGAATGTAAGCCCCTCCAAAAATAAGCCCCTCAAAAGGGGCCTTTGAAAAATATAAGCCCCGGGGCTTATTATCGGAATTTTACGGTATTGGGAGCACATTCCAAATTGACTTGGAACAATTTTAAAACACTAGAAAACAACAACAATAACAACAACGACAACAAAATTGGTTACCTTCTGTATTGAATATTGCGCAAAGGAAACGGAAGTGGGATTTAAGCGCCGAAAAATCGAACAATGTTGTGCTTACATCACTTACATAATCCCAAACAAAACGCCGAAAGAGCACTGGGTACCAGGAAAAAAAAACTGTTTTTCGATCAAAACATTGTCCGCGCTCGAAGCCTTTCTTTTCAAATTAAACACCGGAAAATGATCTAACAGTTTTCATGAACGCCGCTGAGGAAAAAGAGAAATCCAAGGATGACATTGCTAAAGGAATTTCTTATTTTTGGAGGTCGACCAACTTGGAACCTCGCATCAGAAGTGTGGCGTTATGTGACGGCATTGCTAAGATAGCTTTGGGAAATCATCATACGTTGATTTTGACGTTCAGTTCAAACTTGCTATCCGTTGGGGATAACTCTTTTGGTCAGCTAGGTCTTGGTGATTTCAAACCGCGACGAGAACCAACGGTGATCGATTATTTTGGCGACAAATGCGTGCAGGAGATTTCTTGTGGCGGGCATCACAGTGGAGTCGTTTGCGCTAACAATGACGTCTATTTTTGGGGCGATTCGTCGAGCGGCCAATGCGGTGTTGGTGAAAATAAACTAGTTCATCAACCTTGTCAGATCTTCTTTAATCGCAGTGAAACTGTTCACAATATACAAGCAGAGACACAGCAAGACGATGCACCGCCGCTTCCAAAGAAGAGACCCGTGATCAAAGAAATTGCGTGCGGCGAATCTCATTCACTAGCACTTTCCTCCAAAGGAGAAGTGTGGTCTTGGGGAACCGGCTGTCAGCTAGGACATGGAGTAAAATTAGAGCAAGTTAATTTCCCTAAGCAAATAGAATTTTTGATTGGAAAAAATGTTACTTCGATTGCATGTGGAGCGTACCATAGCCTAGCAATCATTCAAGGAGGGGAATCGTTTCCAACCTTTGTATTTGGTAAGAGTGAACATGATCTTCCATCAACTGCAGAACCGAAGTTAAAACGTGATAAATCTAAGAAGAAGGCACGGAAAAGTTCCAAAGGATCATTAAAAAAGAACCAAACTTCAGGAAAGCAGCATGAAGGGGCAGTGTCACCGCAAAAAGCAAAAGCCGAGCAAAAGCATGACACCAGCAGATCCCATGCTGAAAAGAGTAGTGTCACAAGAACATATCTCAGTTATGAACCGGTGTCAAGTGTTTCAAAGGATGAGATGTCGAGCCAAACTGTTACGAATGACGTACCCACACCAGAGATCTTGCAAAGCAAAAATGATAAAAGGACTGTAGAGCCACAGGAGTTTGATTCATTAGATTATGTTCAGTGTAGTGCTGATAGTAATGTACCATGTGCATCAGATTCAGTTAAAAGTTCAAACAACGAGAATTCTTCCCTTACAATCTGTGATTCTCATTTTGGTGACTCAGAGGAAACCATTGTTGATAACAGCAAATGTTTCCACGTCAATGCTGAACAAGCTAAATCTTCTGAACAATCATTGTCTGTCGAGCTCCCTGAATCAAATGAGAATATTTTGTACTCATCTGTTTCACCACTGTTTCCTTCATCACCTACAAGTGATCAAAGCATGTTGTCTTTCATCAGTACTGATTCAGATTCAGAGGATAATCGCAGCAGGGAATTAGATGAAACTTCCACAGCTTCAAAGAATTCACTGAGTTTTTACAGTGCTCTGAGTAGTAGACTTATCAGGTCTGACGTTAACCTTAGCAAGCTGACAAGTGCCGTCGTTGGTTCAGTTACCGGTATGTTCATCACATCGGCACCTGGACAGATGTATTTACATGACCCACCTAAGGCAGTCACGGCAAAGATGCCATGTAAGAACTGTGGTCTTCTTGGCCTGTGTTTGTGTGATACAGATGGTAGCAAATTCAAGCTTGTTGGTGCAAACACCCAGGTATGGTCTTGGGGGAGAGGAGGCTGTGGACAACTTGGTCTTGGAGACACTGAAGACAGGTGTGTATTGAATTAAGGAGGTTAAAAAATATTTGACATATGTGATGGTTGAGCATTCTTGTCTTTGGATACGAATGAAAAATGCTGGTCTAATCTCATAATACTTTTACCAATCTGAATTATATGGGATATTAACTCTTAAACTCTCAAGATCAGAGTTTCTCTCTAACATATCTATACATCATAAGAGAAGAAGAGCTCCCTTCAAGAATGTCCCCTGACACCAGTTTGCTCAGGGGACATTCTTGAAGGGAGCCCTTCTTCCCCTGATGATCTATAGATATTATAGAGAGAAACTCCCATTTCCCAGCTCCATGTTTTTGTATGGAGCCTTTCAATTGAGAAAATAATCACCAAAGGGAATATTCTTTGATCTTTTGTCAGATTCTCTCAGCTTATCCACTAAGGAAATGTATTGATCTAAGTCTGGAGAATCTGTACAGTATGTAAATATTGGGCTTGAAAGGGTTATAGAACCATAAGGGACATTGCAATCTCAGGGAGGGGACTCCTGGCTAAGTGTCTGTCTTTCTTAGGCTGTGAGACTGGGTTAGGAGGGTACTTTCCTTAGTCCCCATTGGGGAGGTCTGTAGCCTGTTCAAAGGCCCTGTTAAGAGACCCTTGCCTGGTTCATGGCTATAGAATGGGTTATTTAGTATTTAGAACTCCAAATGGCTAACAGAACTCTGCACCAGGGACTTGGCTTTCTCATACAGGTACCTCAACCACTGGGTTTTGACCAGGCATGTACAAACCCCACCTAAAGGTGATATTGCACGAGATAATTTGCAACAATGATTTGTAGCGCAACACAGCGTTGCAACATTGTTTCAAATGGTTACAACATTGTTCAAGCATTGCAACGCTGTGTTGTGCTAAAAATCGTCGTTGCGAATTGTCCCATGTTACATAACCTTAAGACAGGGTGGTCACTAAGATTTCAAGTTGCAGGGTAACTACAACAAGTAGCTTAGAAGTCAAACAGCTAGGTTTGGTTCTACTTTTCTTCTATTTTCCTATGAAAGTAGCTGGCGACCACATTCATAGTAGTCAGGGGAAATCCCTGACCCTGCACCCCTTAATGGCAGCCCTGCTAAGAGGGTCTCAATAATTAAAAGCTGGAAAAAAGGTGAATTGGAGGAGTTTACAAAAATCATTTGTCACTCAGGTATTTTCCATGCTGTGTGGAAACTCTGAATGATAGTGGCATCACCAAGTTGGCTGCAGGAACATTTCACTCATTGGCTCAAACTGCTTGTTCTCAGGTACTATATTGAATTTGAATATCATTGATGCTTTGTCATGCTGCAGTTAAAAGAATAAGGCATGTGGTTGTATTGAGGTAGTGTAAAGTTTTAGGAAATCTGATTTCGGGAAGTTGATCCTGTCGCATGCAAATAAAAATTGTCATTACTCAAAACAAATTTCATATTGAAATAAAGTAACTGCGGGATCATGAAGAACTAAATGCAAAGAAGATCATCGCAGTTTACAAGAAGTTTGCATGCGGTGATCTTCTTTGCATTTAGATTTCATAATCTAGACAAAATTACAATAAGTTAAACTTAACGCTAGTTTACGGCCACACAGCTTTCTTTGCATGAAATTTTAATGCACAGTCTTTGAAATCAACAGTAAGTTCTCCATCCCAACTTTATTCCAGAGACCTCGTAGTAAGAATATTCCACATAATTATATCTAGTTAAACCCCTTGGCCACATAACATTGTCTCCTGAAAAACCCGAATAATTTTTATAATAATTAATCATTATTAAATAAATTTATCTATTTTGTCAGTTTTGTGCACTTTAGAAGGCCTGCCTTGAAGATCTAATTTTTGATACTTTTCTTTTTATTTCATTTCTTTGCTCTCCTTATTAATTTCGATTTTCTGTTGATAGGTGTTTTCTTGGGGAGACAATTCCTGTGGCCAGCTTGGAAGGAAAAAGAGCATGGCTTTACAACCTAAGAAGATCAGGGTATTATTAATTAATAAAAACCTTTTAATCTTCCCTTTTGCTTATGTTGAAATATTTGTCACTCTTCTTCTGTACTGTTTAAGTAATTTTATGTGTTCAATGTAGTGTTTTGCAGATGTGTTGGTGTGGGACATCGCAGCTGGCAGCCACTATTCTCTGTTCATTGGTGATATGGCTGTTAGCAAGCCTGATATTTATGTCTGTGGACGTCAACCAAGGTATAGCGAAAAATACAGAAATAAGAAATAATTCATAAGGTGTGGCAATTATTACTATCCAAGACTTGCTTACATGCCAAGACCCTGGGCTGAGTTGTTTAATAGATGTTTGATACTATTTCAGGATTATGCTTGACCTGGCATGACTGTTATAATGTTAACTATATATGCCTTTCATATTGTAACCTAATACAGTATTTCTCTATGTTAGTGCTATGCCTAATGTGGCTGCCACCATGAACAGCATAAAAGAAAGCAGGTCAATGTCATTGCCAACAGGTGCTAGTGATGAAAACAAACGAGCCACAGCAAAACCCCAGGACAGACCAGTCTTACTGTCATCTCAGTCATTTGACGACACCAAAGAGCGATCTCTTCAGCATTGTAGGGTGGAGATTGTTCGGCTCACTATGTTTAGAACGGTTTGTATTGATACATTTGGCTAGGGTTAATTTTAAGTAAGTACTATCAAGGCTTACTCTGTGCAGAAAATCATGTTCAAGGCATGACCATTGGAATAAAAGCTACTGAGCAGTACTTTCCTGTGGTACTTTTTATTATGCTGTACAAGGTGGTTCTAACTTTTGAGTCTGTGGATGAAATCCTAAATAATATTGTGACCATTCAAATGAAAGCTATTGAGAAGTACTTTCCTGTGGTACTGTTTATTATGCTGTACAAGGTGGTTCTAACTTTTGAGTCTGTGGATAAAATCCTAAAGTGTGACCATTCAAACGAAAGCTACTGATCTGTGAGCAGTACTTTCCTGTGGTACTGTTTATTATGCTGTACAAGGTGGTTCTAACTTTTGAGTCTGTGGATGAAATCCTAAAGTGTGATCATTCAAACGAAAGCTACTGAGCAGTACTTTCCTGTGGTACTGTTTATTTTGCTGTACAAGGTGGTTCTAACTTTTGAGTCTGTGGATGAAATCCTAAAGTGTGTCCATTCTAATGAAAGCTACTGAGCAGTACAGTAGCAGACAAGCTAGGCGTCACAGTAGCCGGGGAAAATCCCTGTCCCTGGCCCTAAATAAATGAATAAATAACGTTTTAATTATCCTCTCCCTTTATGGGGCTTTTCAGGGATAACGAAGCAAGTAATGTTAATGGAACATGACTAGCCTGGATGTGAACCAGTTGGCTATTCTATAAGTGTGGTTGAAGATTTGAACTCAGGAATACTGAGAAAAAAATCCAGCTAGCGATCAGGGAAGGGCTTGAACTCTGTGCCTTAGAATTACAAGTTCAATGCTCTAAATGGAAGTCCATTTGGCCATACGCTGTCTCCAAATATAAAAATTATAGTGCTAATGAGTATTTATCTGATAGGATATACCGAACCCAGTATTTAAGCTGCAATATTATATAGCCGATTTAAAAAGCCCTGTATACAAAACCCTGGCCGAGCACTGTGGTTGTCTGATAGGTGGGGCAACCAGGTAAGATCCAGACATGTATGGTAAGATCCTAAACTCTTTTTATGCTCTTATTATACTTTTTGTTGCATTGAGCCAATCTACTGTTTGTAGCATCTTACTTTAAAAAAAAAGGCGCTTTGTAAGTTGTAGGTTCTGTTTAATTTACAGTTGTTTGGATAGCTAGTGATTACCATATATCCAAACTTTAACTTACCTTATATATTCAATTATTATTTGCTGCTTTAACAGTAAATTGCTGATCTTCTCTGACAGTGACAGGAGTGGCAAGTTTGAGATATTGAGTGAACTTGCGAGTAAAGAGAGGTTGTTTTATTACCAACTGGCTCTGATTTGGCAGGCTGTCTTAACACCACTGCTTCAGTCAGGTAATTATAATAATAATACGCTTCAATAGCGTGCAAGACAGTAGTGTCTGATAGCCCCGGGCTAGTGAATTTTGCCGTTGGGCTTATGAGTTCTGTTCTTAAGTTGCACGATGGGCAAGTGACATTTTTCAGGGAATTAAAATCACAAAAGGACTGTAATCAAACCTGCTCATTAAAAATTGTTTTTCGTGCTAGTCAAAATGATGTTTGGGCTTATAGTACATGCTAGCTACAGTTTGCCTCAATGTCAAGCTGTAAAACTAAATTTTTTTTGTACCCTGTTCAAACCTCGCGTACAAAGTAAAGCTGTAACAGTAGTTAATGTACTTTTAAAACTTGTAACTCATACTGAGGATTTTTGATAAAACAAAAGAAAACAAATGTGTCATTGTAAGTTTAATTCCTATGCCTTTAAAACAATATATGTCTGGATTCGATATTAAGCTAAAACGTAGCATATTTTGAGTAAGAGTCAAAGTTTGTTAGATTTATTACAAGACATTCACAAATAAATGTATGAAAAAAATTATGTTGTGGTTAAATTTTATCCAAATTTTAAACCCAATAATCACATTCTAGTATACTCCTTTTGCATTTGAATGCCTTCCCATTAACAAAACTAGAAAAAAGAGGAGCGTATTCAGAGATTTTCCTTCCATTAGAATTTGGTGGAGGGTGGGGAGGGCTTTACAGCTCGTCTTTTAAATCTTTAGAAGGCAGTACGAGAAGGATATATCCTTATTTGATGGACTTTTGTGCTCAATTCTTTGCAGAAGTTTGGTCTGTCTTGGCCCTGCAAGAGATTGGTCAAGTTTTAGCGCCGATCATTAAGAGTTTTTATGACATAACAAAGTGTGTCTCCTCAAATCAGAAAGCTGCTACTCAAATAGTTTCATCAATGAAAAGCTTCCATGAATTATTTAAACACTGCTGGTCTGATGCGTTTTTACAAGCTTTTGAAAGGTACTGGTTGTTTAGTAAGTTTTTTTAATCCCTTTTTAACACTCCATGCACTCTTTGCAGACATAATTATACAACATATATAGTTCCACTTTTTAGGAGTGCTGCACCGGTATCACACAGGTCAAGGTTCAAATCCCAGCGAGCCTGAAATTTTTTCAGGCTTTCTTTTCGCAACTTCATAAGCTGCTTCTTTAACTGCGATGACCATAAGTGCATTTATTTCATGTTTTTGTGTTAGTGACATTCCCTGGATTTTGATAGCCATGAGGGGAAAAGGACTGCAACTTGAGGAGTCCGTCAAAATTTAATAAAAACTGGCCATGCTTGGTTTGTTCCATTTGTATGGTGTCTTTCATTCTGATGGCGTTTCCAGTATTAGCAATAAAAAGTAGTTTGCGAAGCTTGTGTTTTTGTTTGTTGAGGACGCAAACGAGCAGCGAAGCCGGGAGCCAACTGAGAATTTCAACTCATCCTTGACCCCAAAATGTGGAAATCATCATGGCATAGCCCCTTAGAGTAGCATGTTTGTGGCAAACGAGGGAGATGACCGTTTCCGAAATTGTTTACGTTTGTCTTGACATTTGCGGTTTTTCAATGTTTATGTCTGTGAGAACCTAATAAAAACGTGTCATTGTCCAATCCGCGATAGAGAAGAAACTGCTCGTTATTTTTACCATTTACTGTAAACTTGATGCTATATCTCTCTTATAACAAAAAAACTTACCTCAAGTTTATTTTGCGCAGGTACTCTGCAAGTTTCAGTAATGGAGTGGCATTCGGCGTGTTTACAGCATTTTCAAATGTGTCAAGGTATTTGTTAAGTAACTGCAGGTTTAATTTATTCATGTCACAATTGTTTAGTAAAACAGCACATTAACCCTTGCGTTTCTAAAAGTAATTTGTGAAAAAATGATGCGGTGCATGCTTTGAAGTACCAATATCCACATACAAATTCTCCAAACTGATATTCATACTTTTCCTTAGAGATAAGTTGAGAGAGTTTAATAAAAGATCAAAGCATTTTCTCCTTAGTCATCATACGATTAAGTCTCGTAAGCATTTCTGCAGACATTGTAAGGAGAAAATTGATGTTGGTCACTATTCTTGTAACTGTTTTGTGTTATGTTTTTTAGTGACATAACGACGCAAAGCAAGGCTGTGTTGTGTGATATTTTAGACGATTCGGCACAGGTAACGAACCTCATTTACATGCCTCAAAAGAAGTTTTTAACCGTAGACGGAACCGGGTCAGTAAATGAACTGTTTGTCAACTATATGTATAGCTTGATAACTTTCAATTCAAATTCTAAGCGTACAAGGTTACAGCAAGAAAAGTCCCTCAAACACCGGCTAACATTTGCTAAAGTATATTTTTGATAGGATGGTACAGTCATTGCTACTTTTGGTTCTTACAAAGTCAAGTTATTTCTTCCCTCGTCTATAGGAAATAGTTTGGGACAATCATTAGCGCTCTTAAAGTTGTCCATGTAGAAAGGATTTTTTTTTCTGTGGTAGTGTGTGTATAACAGAATATTTTGTGCCCGTCTTTGTTTCAGGACTTTGTTAGTTCGGAGAGTGCCTTCCAATACATGATGAAGTTTCCACTCTTAAAGATGCTACATTACCGAGTTATTGTAGGAAAACTGCTCAGTACAATACAAATGACCGAGGTTAGTAAGCTTTTCTTGCAGAAAAATACTTCGATGGTTCGATCATCGTTTAGATCGGGGTACACAAGCAAGTCGAGTCACACTTTTGGACCGGATTTTTGTAGCTTTTACAGTAAATTCTGTCTTAACCGTCATCTCTATAAGTCGGACTACAACTACAAATTAAAAACGGAAATGTCCGTTGCGGTAAGGAGCAAGGAGAGATGGCAGATTCTCTGGCTAGGACAAAATTGAATGTATTTTTATCTTTCACAACTCTGGTTTACAGTTCAATTTGTTTTTATGATACATTTTTTCTGCCAGATACGTCTTTTGTCGTAAGTGCTAAAAAAGTGCTCGAAAGTGGTATTGCTTGTGCTTATCTTTTTTTTTTTTGCAGAAAAACTCAGTGGACTGCGCTCGTTTGCAAGAAGAGGCCGAGCAATGGGAACAGTTTATCACTCGAGATGAAAACATACAAGCACAAGCTGCAGCTACTCAGAAGTTTTGGCAAGAATGCCCTGCTAAAATATCAGTGAGTTGCCAATGGCGTCAGTAGCTTTTGTCATACACAATTTTTAATCAAATATCGAAAGTAGTTTCATAGAGTCTTTGGTTTTGCTTTTCTACGTTAGTCCTAGTTGTATGTCGTAGCAGGTGATCCTTTCCTGATATATCTATTTAACTAGGATTATTCATTTATTGTGTAATTTATGTTTATTTATTTATCTAATTAATAATAAAAGTGCTGACCAATTCACGTGTGTGCACAGGTATCCCAGACTCACAACAGCCTACTGGAAGCCAAATTATGATTTGTGTGGGAATTTTCGTAAGATCGATAAAACGGTCAAAATGTACATAAACAGCTATTAAAGTATACATACCTCATAAGGAGTTGAGTTTGTGTTGTTTTCTTACGGTTTCCTCTTCTATAAACGCCATTTAGCAAGTTTTAATGTTTTGGTTTCTCACCTGCTATAAGGAAGACAGGGAAAAACACGTTCTACCCTGCCCGAGGAAAAACCTACAAAAATTACCTTTCTTCCATTCCAGTCGCTCCAAATCTTCGCTTGAGCATAGAGTGAAGATTATCCCAATCTCAATTTTGTTCCAAACATCATCGATATAGCAATGCGCCTCAAGAGACGAGGAATGGAAGCACAATGGAATCCGCGCCTGTGGAACCGCTGTGCTGTTCTCCGCGCAGCAGTTTCGTAGTGTAGCTACCGATGGCCGTTGCCTGGCTTTGCAGGCCACGCTGGCGTCAAAAACCTCGGTGGATACAGACAGGAAAATCAACCCACAAAACTAGACTGCAGGCATCAGGAACGCCACTATTTGAAAGAAGCGGCGGGAGTACAGGTTCCCCGTCGAGGATTTGATGTAATATGTGTCTGTGAGTATGCATACCTACGTTTATTATTTGCCAAACTGTTATCGATCTTACAGACAAATTTCGGCCAAGTCCTTTGAGACTTGGCCCAGCAGGCTGTTGTAGAGTCTGGGACCCCAGCGGAGAAAAACTGTTGTGAATTGGAAATCCAGATGGTTAATATTTACGTTCTTCGTCATTATTGAAACTTTGCGGAACCTTTTTGCAGCCAATCAAAATTAAAACCAAAACCAATGGTGACCTGGCACGTTTCCCGAGTCGGCGCCGGCTAAGGCGCCTGTTTTGTTGCGCGTGTTGTGATTGGCTAGAGAAATAATGTTTGGCTTTGTGGTTTTCCCGCGCTTTTCGCGCCTACCACTTGCTTCAAGACATGACTGGTTCATTTGATAGTCAGCTCTTGTTGTGATTGGTCAATTTATTTTTCAGATTTGGTGTCTGGTTTAACGTTACTCGATGAAACAGTTTTCTCTCTACAAAACTTGACTAATTGTGCTTCATTCGATACTTGTAACGTTCCTTCATAAACAGTTAATCTTTGTGTTATTTTCGTCAAGAATAAAAGCAAGTTTTTGAATGTTTATTGTAGGAAACATTTAAGGACTGTCGAAGGAGATTGTTGAGAAGCAGTAATATACACAGCCTATATCCATCAAAAGGAACAAGATTCTCATCTCCTCTTTATGTCTTGTTTGATGACTTCTTCGTCCACTTTCAGGTATCACTCACTGATTCATTTGCACAGTCAATGACAATAAAAATACCAAAACTTACGTCCTTAATTTTGTACTTTTAACTCTTCGTGCGTACCGAAATTGTATTCGATCTTCTCAAAGTAGAATTATATATGTCTCTACAAAATATTTCTCATTAATTACCTTTGTAAGCGCAGGGATAAGAACGTATGCTGAATACCCATTCCTCTCATCCAAGGCGCCTAAGTTAAACGGATACATGAAATCAGCATTTACGTTCCGTTTAAATTTATTTGTGGATAGAGACGTGATGGAAAACAAAGTTGCACACTGGCCGAAATAATTGTTTTGCTCTTTCCAGCTACGTCGCTGAAATATCGTGGACAAATTCACCCACGTTTTGCTATATTATTGGAATAATGTCTTAAATACATGTAGTTTACGTGAAATCATGAAAGCTTTTCTGCCACCACCACTGCCACCAGTTGGCTGTACCATCATACCAAAACTGGTCATTGACCTGCCTGTCTCTAGTCTGCTACCTCGCTTTAGCCACGGTGTGGGCTGAAGGCATCGACGTGAAGTGGCGAATCACGTATACTAATCATTGCCGCCAAAATTCAACCTCCCCGCTACGACCCTGTTGGTTATCCTTACATTTGAACCAACTGAGTCAAGAGACGACATGTAAGCAAATCAATGATGTGTGGAGGAGGCAGAGATGGCACAATCACCCCAACACACTTCCGAATATAGGACTAGGGTGCGTTCCTCGATGATCCAAGATAGGAATCGATACTCGATTGATCAAATGATGAATTTTTGCACAGAGTGACGATCATTGATTCATCATGATCCGAGTGCCAAAAAGGAGCGCGGCACCCTGGGCTTAAGACGAAGGCGCGAGTTCATGGTGAAGTCACAGAAAGAAAGAAGAAAACGCAAAACGAAGTTTTCAAACGCCCATTGAGGTCAGGAAAGTAACGTACCCGCGAACTTGTTAGTTTTGACATATCGTATGAATGGCATCAAAATTTTCAATGCCGGAAGAGATCTTGCTTGTCTGTGCCCTCAATCATACAACGCAGAACTGTAAAATGAAGTATCAGCGACGAATTAAGATCCTGTTTGAACGTGATTTGTTTGTGGTTTGTTTTATTGCCATATTTTGTCCTTTCTACTCTGCAGAAAAGCGGCAAGGTTCATTATCATTATTCAGCAGTACCTGAGAGCCGCTTTAGACGAGTTAACATTCAGAAATGGCTTTCATTATTAGGAAGACTGGACCGCCATTGGCATCACACAGTCAGGCGTAGTTCTAACCTTTCAAAGGGAGCGAAGATGCGTGGTGCAAAATTTGTCCGACGTAACTCCCGCGTTCCCAAGACCAAATCTACCAGCGTTGTATCCGAGCTGACCAAGCCAAAGGTGGTTTACTTGAATTGACCCAGAAGCTGTTTTAATGTTGTGATTCTTGTTTTCACAGGCTGATTGGTTAATGACCATCAATCAGGCAGTTGCGAATGTCATCTCCAAAACAACAACTTACAGGTACTGAGTCGAAACTCTGCTAATAATAATAATAATAAGGTCAGTTGTCTACTCAAAGACACCATCTCAATAATAAGTTTCGCTCCTGCGAAACGTCTGTAAAGGGGAGGAACGAGAGTAAAGGGCTGCTGGGTGAATGTATACATGTAATGGTTAATTGTAGGACAATGACCTTCCAACAATCTGGTTATTGCCGTGGCAAGGGTTGAATGAAACAGAATTCATTCATCATCTATCTATCTATCTGGTTCAATTGTCTGTCTGTCGTCTGGTTCGTTCGTTCGTCTGGTTCGTCTGTCTGTTCGTTCGGGGTTCGTTCGTCTGTTCGTTCGTTCGTTCGTTCGTTCGTTCGTTCGAAGAGCATCAATGTAAATACCTCTATCTTTGGTTATCAAAGACGCTTGAGCAGAAGTACACCCAAACTGAAAGTTGGCCTTGCAGCAGGGAGGCGGCCCTCCCACATTTGGAATGAAGGCCTTGTGGAGACATCTACCAAGAAGGTGTGGCTCTGGACAGCCTCAGACAGTAAGTATCGTACACATTATCTCAAGGTGTTAACTCAAAGGCCAAATTTCAATATTGTTAAGAGAAATCAGGGTAGCTTTTATGTAAATGGTTTACGAATCGGTGTAGTGATCTCACCAGCCAGACTGGCTAAACGCATTTGAGTAACAATGCGAAGGAAGACGTTTCAATATGAGTGTGTCCAGTTTCGGACGGCGAAAAGTTAAATCCATGCACAAAACAAACAGAACTTAGGCCCTCGCTAGCTTAATCACGCAGTTATTGGAAAGAAAAGCATAGCTTTGTCTTCCTGTTTTTTTTTTTAAATTACGTATTTTAAAAATATAATTCAACTCTGTTGCTTTCCAGAGAAATACTTTCTTGTGAATTTAAGCGCAAAATAAATTATCATTTAGTTTGTCCTGATTTTAGGCGGAAGTAAAGTACCATCGTGGTCTGGCGTGATCATTATTATATCACATGAATTTAAATTTGCCTGCAATATTGGGTGTAGTTCACCCAGTAGTATATAAGTCCCGTTATTAAGACCACTGGTTAGTTCATAGGAGCACCAAAGGAGGATGGTAAAGAAGCCTTCTGGGAACGTGAATTTACGTGGACTTGATTCGCTAAGACTTTAAAAACCCAGTTAGAAGTACAGTGATGCGTCATCGCCCGGTTAATGTTCGCCACCGCGCACCGCCGCCCAATACCATGACAACATTACAATGTCTTTCGTTTTTCTTATAGTAAAAGGAATCTTGATTGACCGTTCAACCTGCAGCACGCTGGAGAAGTATCGCGGCCACTGATGCGTGATGTCCGTTACGGTGAGGCAATTCTCACCGCTAACGCATTATTGTTCGCAAGTGTTGTCGCTCCAGAAGGCCACAATAAGCTGCTGCGGCTGTTTTCGACGCTAAAACGTTTTGGACACCAAAACGCGTTGTTCAAGCAATCAGGGCCTACAAAGAGAGCGCCATTCATTGATAAATCCGTTATCTTTATGGTAGACTTCGACCAACAGCGATTCAAATACGCTTCACCTGTGGCTATTACAGACCTCTGCTGCTTTAACATCAGCACAATCCCGGCGAACAGCTGTGTTCGCGAGATTATTTGTTTTTCCCATGTGTATCCGAAGCTGGTTAAAGAACAAATTATTCAGTGATAGCGCTATCCAACGCTTGAAACGTTTTCAGTCGATATAGTAGCCAGGCCTCGCGACCGCACATCACGTTTTGCTAGAGTATGGAGCAATTCCTGTGTTTCGGTGCGGTAAGAGTATTGCGCCATAAGCGTGACTCACCGGTGCTCATATTGTAGGTTTTGCACGGCAGTGACGTGGTAAAGTGACTCTCATGTGAGACCATGCTGGGGTCATGGATGGTGCGCTGTCCTCCACTGGAGCAATGTATAGGTTATTGAAAGAATATCCAATGACAAGAGATCAGATATGAGTTAATGACATCCTCGTGTCGGCTTAACCACGTATCATCACTTACGCCAATTTACCCATTAGCCTTCCTTGTATACTTCCGTGTTTCCTCGGATTCAACCCTGTTTTAAATTACCAGTCAGATGTGTTCTCTGCAAAGCCCTCCAATTTCAATCTAGGTTTCCAACGTGCCATTTGGGATTCATCTCATTTAATATACCCATCAATTCCCCACCCCACCCCACCCTGATTCAAGGAAGTCCTGCGTTGCTGGCTTCAATCGCGTACCTGCACACTTGTGAATCAGCGTCGCAGCAAAAAGAACCTCGTTCAACTTTTTTTACGTTACGCGTGATCTTCATATTGCCTTGCCTCATTGGGGACGCACGGAAATTATCATTACGTGTGATAGTGGGAAATCAAACTCCCAGCCAGATTCCCACCTAATTTAAGTGTCCCGCTTGAAAAGTTAGTTATACAGCAACAATAATAGATGGACCATTGGCCATAGGACTGTTGACCACGAACGATTTTAGTATACTTGCTCATAATGTTGCTACTTGCATTTGATAAAAAGTTCCAATTTATCATCTGCAGTCCTGCATGCGATTTTGTGAGCAATTGCATGTGATTTTTAGATTCTCGTTTCTGAATGGTTGTCTTAAAGATTTCCTACTTTTTTTCAGGGTGAGTACATGGTGTGTGGAGCCGCCGATTCCTGCCATGGTCCTGGCTTGTTAATTTGATGGTATTTATAATCACAACTTCAAACAACCATGGTATACTTTTTGGTACTCCAAGTACAGTAGATGTATAATTAACTGTTGTTTTAATGATCGGTGTCTGGAATACAACAAATTGAGAGGATACTTTAGCCGCACGTGTGTGGTTCAGTTCCATATCAGAAATCGTATTTGGTGTCGGATATGACCGGATTCTACTCTCGTGTATTAGAAATAATTGGTACATTAACCTCGGAAGGTTAAACAACATGTTAAGGCAAACGCTTACTTTTTCTGAATTCATGTTCAATTTTAAAAAATGAGGTATTATTCTTAATTTGCAAGCTAACAAGGTAGTTTTTGCATTTCTTATCATAGCAGTATGCAGGATCGTGTCACATTATATTAAGTGTACAGTAATTAGTCTTCTCAGAGTATATCCAAGGCGGGTAACTGGCGTTCTTTTGTTCATTAAACAGGGTAATGGCATTCTGCTTTGCGACGATAACACCAAGTATGAAGGAGAATTTGTTGGAGAGTGTCTGTTGTCTGGCAAGGTAGTAATTTATGATTTCATGGTCGAGTGTTTACACTCGTTTGTAAAAAATTAATATTTTTATTCCCTTGTATTAAATCCTCCTCCTCCTCCTCCTTAGAACATCACCACCATCAATTTTAATCGTCAACAGCGTCATCATTATCAACATCGTCGTCGTCGCCATCATCCTCCTCCTCCTCCTTGTCGTTAAAACATTATCACCATCATTTTCATCGCCAATCGTCAACAGTGTCATTATCATCATCATTATCATCATCATCATCATCATCTCATTATTGCTATTGTAAACAACCATCTTCTGTTTTTCCCGGCCAAAAGTCATTTATGGCTTGCTATGAAGTCTTTCATTTTATGTTCAAAGTACCACCACAGTCTGAGTGTAATGCGACAAATTCGTAAACTGGTAGGCTAGTTTTGAGACTGAAAATAGCACCAGTAGTTCATAGAAAGAGAAGGAAGAAGAAGGCCTTCATGTTGGCTTGAACTAAACTCCTAGTAAAGATGTAGCACGCTTTTGATCTCTTGGTTTGGTTTGTTTTCAGGGTACTCTAACCATGCCGAATGGTGACTTCGTAGAAGGTACATTTACTGGTCAGTGGGGCGAGGGGATTCGTATAAACGGTACATTTCATAAACTGGAAACAACAGGCACAACCAACAAATCATTAAGGTACAATGCACCGTTACTTAACATGACTTAAGCTAAGATCAGTGACAATTCCAAAGACAGCAGACGCTTTTACCATATATAAGAGTGAAAAGGTACAGTCGAAATGTGTCTGTTTAACTTCCAACGTCCATATACACCAATATGAACTTTCAATTCGCACGTTCTTTACGCTGAATGTGGAAGTCGGTTTATGGTTACGCCGGCATACTTGGCTTGGATATATTACTATTATCAGATATCCAAGGTTGACCACGTGTTCACACAAGGTGATTAAAGTCCCCAACATTGGACAAAGACTACTTCTGCATTGTTAGTACAGTCATCTCTCTCTTAACGGACACCTAGAGTTAGTCCTTGCATTCCTTTACTCCTTTTAGTCTATCTCAATAACCCGGACATCTGTCTGGGGGCGCTTTCCATTTGTCACAACTGGCCGGCCGCATTATTGTCCGACCAGTCAGTTAATGAGTTTGAAAATGACATAGGCTTTTCCAAGAGTTTTTGCTGAAAAACCATCTCCTTCGTGCATGCTATTATTTTAGGATTTGACTGGAGATCAGAGGTTTTCGACAGGAATGGTCTGGCTGGTCAGTTCTGGACACATTGTGCTGATCCCAAAGGTGTCCGTCGCAGAGGGAGTTGGGGAGGGTAGGGAAAAGTACCCCCCACCCCCGCGCCTACTCTTTGCTCATGCTACCTCAGGTCATGCTCGTAACGTTTTTGTTATAAAAAGTGCATGCGACGCACTGTTGTAGTACAATTCTGACTTTTCTCTTTAATCATAGAACCGTCGCGGCGGACAGCAAGTATGTGATTCCACCCGAGAAGAAATGGGTGTCTCTGTTTTCAGAGTGTCGTCAGTCCCTCGGATGTCACGGTGATCGTGACGCAGAACATTGGATTGTGTGGAAATGTGTATCGATTGCTTTGACAACTGGGCGTGACTCTAAAGTGTCACGCAATGATTTCGAAATAACGCAAGAGCTGATTAAGATCAATGATGACATGGAGCAAACTGCTAAAGTCTGTGATGACCTGCAAACCGTTCAAGCTTATCTCTCGAAGGTTAGTGAGGTGGCTTTACTATTAAAAACTCTTTTACATCAGAAATGTCTCATTACTCGATGGATTCGGTACTTCTTCTTAATTTTAAGAAAATTAGGCTAAGCTCTCTGTCTTGCGTCATGAAAATACTGTAACATTGTAGCAATGGAACCTGTGCTTCCGTAACGGGTATAGTCAACTCTCACCTTGCGGACACCAGCGAAATCCCGGGCAATAATAAACTAGTAATTATTGCAAATTAGGGGAGTGCGTTCGATGGGAAGGGGAGGGTGGTGGGTAGTGAGTGGTAGTGGGAAGAAGGTGAAAAACCTGACGGGCTTGTAATATCGAGAAATCAAAATCAAACAATTTTATCAATATGAATATCAGCAGCTGTCTTTGTCAGTGTTATTGTTTGTCCTCCAACTTTACAATTCGTTACTATTTCATTTTTCTGACTGAAATAAACTCTCGCTATTACGGACTCTCGTTAGTGAAGACACTAACTCGAGGTCCCTACAGTGTCCGACTGTTTTTTGGCGGAATAGGGGCGTATGTAACTGTTAACCTAAGACTTAAGGCTTATGATCAAGGGTTTAATAAGGAAATACGAAATTGTTATTTCATTCCAATACCAGTTCAACTTTTGATAAATAGGGGGAGAGGGAATGCTATAATGAAATGACGTTGTAAACTAGCAAATAACTTGTCACATCTTTTCCAGGCATTTGATTTGAAACGTCATCCTCTAGGACGGCTTGTAAACAGATTGGTTGATGTATTTCGAGCCAGTTATGTTGGAATGGGGACACACAGAAGACTGTTACCTCATGCAGTGGCAGAAACCAAGTCCTTTGTTATCAGAGTTTACGGCATTGTGCGGTATGATTTAGTCCGTATTTTTGCTTATTCAAGTACGCGCGAGCAGTCAAACAAAAGGTCTGGAACGAGGCTAAAAACAGAGAGCGATACTGAGGAGAGACGCTAAAAATTTTTTTCTCTCGCCTTACACGTCCTACGGGCGCACTGATTTTGAGAAATAAAAACCGACTGTTTTGCAGTCTAGGTATGATTTATCCTGAGAAAACAGCCGACATTTCGCCACGCCGCCATTGGTTTCCCCGCGAAATGACGTCTGAGCAAGCGAGCGCAAACCCCATACTTATGACACGTCACTATCCAGATGTGGGTAGTGCTTTTGATTGGTTGAAGCAAATTTCCCTGGCGGCCCGACAAATCAGAAGCACTATCCATATTTGGGTAGCGACACGTCATCAGTATAGAGTTTGCGCTCGTTGCTTCGACGCCATTTAGCGAGGAAACCGAGAGGTGTTTTTTTGGAAAAGATAATGACCTGAAACTTTACGTTCCCTATTTTAGCTTATAATAAACCTCTTTGTTTTAACTTCAGACAAAAAGAAAAAAATCGTTAGTGACTCACTAGATGTTAGGACTCTGGATTCTCTATCGTTGCAAAACAATGTACAATATTGTTACTATACTAGAGTCTTACAGCTGGCGTAAATGTTGGTCCAACGTTTTAAGATGTCATTGCCACCTTTACTGTTGGTATTGTTGTTGGCACATTTGATTCTTGCACTTTCTTTGATTATTTTTTCAGTCTCTTTTTCCCGGAACTTCCCAATGAAGAGTACGTTCATCTGGCCACAGACACAGTAACAGGAATAGCCAATCACAGCACAGAAGAGAGCTTGACGAGCAGCATGCTACTGCACCCATTACTCTTCCCCAGGCTCTACCCGCCTCTGTTTACTCTGTATGCCCTGGACAACGAACGAGCAGACAGCGCGTACTGGGAACAAATACAGCTGTTAAACAAGCGATCGGACTGGGCACTAATGACGTATGTTGGTATGAAAAGGTAGGATAGCGTATTCAAATTGTTGTACTGTTGAATTTCGCCCATGTCATATGACATAGTAAGGTTTATTTCCCGCCAAAAGTCTGAGTTAGTAGCATCGCAAAATCTATGACGTCGGAGAGTCGAGTTTGAACTCTGATGTCTTTTGATATAGATTGGTTTTTTTACATGACGTCACAGCGGCCATGTTTGTGTGTAAAAAATTCCTTTGGGAATTGAACTCCTTTCTTATGTAAAAACTTTCTTTTGTTCTGATAAATTTAAGTAGCTTAGGACCAGTCTCGTCACTGATCCCTTGAAAACAACAATATATTTTGACGCCCGAAAAGAAAGGCTCATAAACTATAATTGGTCTTCCCTAGGCATTTCTGGCTGACAAGAGAAGAAGACATTGGAAGTCGGTTGGAAGAGGTACAATTGTATAAAATGCTTGATTCCTGAGCTCTGCTTTTACGTCACATCCAGCCGATGTGGAACTTACCATGTCATGTTGTTTCGATTAATTGTAGGTGAAATTGGAAAACAGAGAACCTGAGCATTATATCAGTGCTGTGGAATCTTTGCAACAAATAAGGTATTTGGCATAGGAGATAGTTACATAACTGCTCTAGTTTGTTGTTAGGGTTAGACATTCAGTGCCTATTACTACAGATACTGATAACTTCTCTTTTTATTTCACAGCACAAAGTTCAGCCCCATGGAAAAACTCGCAGTTCTTAAGACTACCTTTGAAAAAATAAATGAAGTAAGTCGTTTTGAACAAACTAGAGTTTTTTTCCTCCAAACATGTCTAACCGATTATTTTTCCAAACTGTAATTTTGTTTGCCTTGCCTCTTCTTTCAGGAAGTGACGTCATTTTGGCAAGGCGAGAAGAAGCTCGTCTCTCTTGATGATTTATTTCCGGTTTTTCAGTTTGTGGTTATCAGAGCAAGGTATAAGGAAAAAAGTTTAACCCTAACAATATCCATACAATGCCAAGAGATTAGGTTATGAGAATTAACAAAATGATCACCTAAGAGACAACGCTTTCATCTTTTATCAAATTCTCTCAACCTATCCATTAAGGAAATATATAGAGATCAGTTTGGAGAATTTGTATGTGGATATTGGGGCTTAAAGGGTTAAACAGTATTGTTTTTACTGGTCATGTGATTAATCAAAATTTTGGCCCACTTGATACTAAAAACGTCTAATCTCTTTGTTTGCTTAGCTCTGCTTAGCCCTTATGCGGCGTCTCCCCAAGCCTTCTCGGTCAATGCATATCGGTGACGATCCGTTACAAACGGCCACAAATTCGAAATGGCCGCGCGCAATAATGTTTCCTAGAGACTAGGCAATTTGTTTGAGGTGAATGTAGTCATTTACACTTCAAAGAAAATTAAAAACTTAAGCGATAACAAACATCATACCTAAAAAGTGCTTGATGAAGACGTACGAAGTAGCACAATCGATCACGCTCTTTCACCTTTTGTTCAGCCTCTTTCGCTTTCCAGAACGTTTTGCCTCTCTACAAGCTAGCCATCTTTTCATAACTGATACTGCTCAATATTCCGGTGGCTTACGAAGCTCTGCACCTGGTACATCACTCATGTAACTTCATTTCTTCCTGCGCGTTCACGCCTTCATTCGAATTTGCCGCCATGTTGAAAATGCGTACCCCAAAACAGTCCCACAATGCACTTTGGCAAAAATTTCGACCCGGATTTCCGCTCAACCTCAAAGTGGCGAATTCATGTCTTGTAACCCCTCCGAGATAACTACCCCTACCGCTTGACCAAACTAGAATAAATCACCCCTCTCAATTTCAAGAAACGTTCTTTCTCGTACCATGTTTGACCAAGACAATAATCGATATGCAAGTTTTGATTAATAAAAAAATTGGATCAATTTAGGTTTCTTGGAAAGTGCACACCTATCCCTCCCCTAAGCCATTATTTTGCCCTAAGTGAGAAGTAAGTGTTAATGTTAGCGTAGGGAAGGGATAGGTGGGCAGTTTCCCAGAAAATTAAATTGATCCAAAAAATTCATAGTTGGCTCCCAAGACTGAGGAGCTAGTCGCCCCATGTAGTGTAATTTAAGACGGTCTTGGAGTCGAGATTCCACACCGGGCATTCCGGATTCCAGATTCCAGGGACTAGATTCCGGATTCCAGTCGTTAGCAAAATTGTTGATTCCTTGAGCTGGATTGCGGATTGCAAGCAAAGATTTCCCGCATTCTGGAATTGGACTGAGTAACCTTACGATGGGCAAGGAGGATAAAAAGGGAAATACCATTGAGTTTCGGTCCCCAGAACCAAGTTTATATTTGTATCAATTGGAAAGTGGCTTTTATGGCGAACCTGACGAAAAAAAGCAATTACTAATCCCCTTTTTCTCTCTTTTGGCCGAAGTTAAGATGAACTTAAGAACGCTTATTCCAGAGTCACATACAGATGATTATTTGTTTGTCCTACAGGATTCCTCACCTGGGATCAGAGATTCACTTTATTGATGACATGGTTGACAGTCACGTGCAAATTGGAGAGCAGGGTCACATGTTTACAACCCTCAAGGTAAATATCAACGTCTAATCATAGAGCGTTTTCACATGACGTCACGTCGGCCCACCCTATTGGTGTCATGAAACAATGAAACGGCGGCCATGTTGGTGTCCAATCTCATGGGAGTTGTACCTTGTTCTTTTGTAAAAAATTATTTGCTACTGGTCACCACTCGCGACGCCATCAGCTATGCAAGTTTATTGCTACCAAAGAAAGCGATTACATAGTAAGAGTTTAACTCCCACAGGACTTCTTTAAGACACCAAAATGGCCGCCCTTTACAACATGGCGGACGTGAAGCCATGTGGAAAAGCTCTATACCCTGGGTAAAAGTTATCCTTCTCTCAAGAAACCGGGTCAGGTGACATATGTCAGCCTGGAAACTAACGCATACAACGCGACTTCCAAGTGACTGCTCATACTCCAAGGATTTAAGGTCAAGCGACCTTTTGCCTTTAAACCACTTATACATGGCCTTATTTGATGTTTTTCTTTTTTTTTCGTCAACAGGCTTCATTTTTCCAGATTCAAAATGAAAAAGGCTGAGTTAGCAGCTGTCCAAAGGAACCGTCCTGTCGCTGATGGCTGATATTTATTACGCTGAGCATGCGCAGAGTATACGTCTCACATTAACACCGAACGCTGGCTATGCATTGTGCCTTACACTTCCGAACAAGTAATCGCGCCTTAGTGTGTGCCTTTGCAAGCTTTACGATATCTTTATTTAGTATCCCGCCAAATGCGGCGCTGGAGACATTTAGGGGCTGTTTACATAGAGGTGGGGGACCTCAGATAGGTGAGGTAACATGTGGCGGGTCACCCCACCTATCTTGTATTGGTGATCAAATTAAAATGAGAGATTATATGGACAGGCGGGTTACCTCACCTACCTAGGGTCCTCCACCTCTACGCAAACAGGCCCTTAGATTCGAGGTCGAGATTTCAGTTGTGACCTCGTAAGCCCAAATCAAATCGACATTTAAATGGGGATATATGGTTTCAAATCCAGGAAAAAGTATTGGTAGTTTTATCCGGGTGTGGAGACTCCCCCTTCCTCCCTCCCTAAAGTAAGTTATGGAAATACCCGCCGGAATTTCTCATACACGCGGTATGAAACACAATCCTCTTCCGCTTTTCCTGAAAGGAAGTATCTTTTTGTTTACTCAATCCCTTCCATTTCGTCGCTACGCTTTATAAGCCATTTTCACGATGACGACATTTGACTACAACTACCAGAATTCAATTCGCTTTTGCTTTTTTAGTTAAATTTGTCAATCTCGCTAAGGATTAAAGAACAATAGCCTTAATTTGCACAAGAAAACAACAAATTTTGGTAGTTGTAGTAAAATGACGTCATCGTGCAATTGTTCTATTCCCTTTCCTCGCTGACAATTTTTCGTACAAACAGATTTTTAAAAACAAATATTTATTCGCAATGCCGTTCATTTTTCACCGCTTTTACTTACATTTTGTGTACCTTACTTAGTGAAATTATTTGAAAATTACTTATAAATACTTCGACTTTATTATCGTCATGCATGTTTCTTAAATGGCCTTGTTCAGTAAACTTCTCTTCACTAGTATTTATGTAGAGCTGAACTGTATTCATTTCCATTCAAGGAGTTTCAAAGATGTGAGTGATGTGAAACCTCTATACGTAATCCCTAAAATCAGCATGTAGATTCCCAACACCTTTCTCCAGTTATATCTTACGGCACTGACTAGGAGAATTTGTCTGTCAATCAAGACTCTTGTTATCACGTTTCCCTTGTTCTCATGACTTGCTTTATGGGCGTCCTCGGTGTAAAAACCTGTGAAGTTTTTCTTTGTTTTCTTGCTATTAGTTTCCTTGGATCTATTGTGTTGACCTCTCAGTGGCTTCTCTGTATTCATTGATTTACGTCACTTATGAATTTCATAGTTTTTTACACCGAGGGTGAACCTGCTTTATGTAAAAATGTTGGTAGAAGCAGATGCTTATCTCTGCTCGGGTGTACAAAGGGTTAAAACAAAATTTGCGCCAGACTGGAAAATAAACAAAGTTGACTTCACCCTCAAGTCTTCGTATTTTTTCCAACAATTGAATAGATCATTTCCAAGTTGCTCCAAGCGTCTGTCTTAGGGCCTGTTGACATGAAGGTGGGGGACCCCAGGTAGGTGTGGTAACATGTTGCGGGTTACCCCACCTAACCTGTAAACGTGATCACATTAAAATGTGAGATTATATGGACAGGCTGGTTACCCCACCTAAGCGGGTTACCTCACCCTCCTAGGGTCCCCCACCTCCATGTAAACAGGCCCTAAATTGTGTCCATTCCTTTAAAGGTGGGTAGGGGTCCGTATCTCGAAAGTCCCTAAGAGCGTTTTCACTCACGTGGTCAGCATCAATGCAAATTTACTGGAACAAAAGAAAGCGTTTACGTAAGAAAAGAGATCAACTCCCACAGGACTTGTTTGGGACACCAACATGGCCATCGTGACGTCATGTGAAAACACTCTACATGTATAAGTAACGAGTAACACTTATTATCCTATACCGGTACGTGTTTTTTCTTTTCTTCCCGGTTTATTCTGAATTCTAACCACCTCTTCGATATAGGCCCGCCAACGATACCGACCACAAACCAAGGAGACGTCATGAACCTCAGCAAAGAGTTACATGGCCGCGCGGAGATACGAAATTACTCTTCGAGTGTTGAAAAATATTTCAAGAGTGAGGGCAGCGATATTACACTCGTTTCGCTGCGCTCACTGGTGAAATATTTTTCAACACTCGAAGAGAAATTTCGTATCTCCGCGCGGCCATCTATCTCTACCTCTTTGCTACAATTAATAATACACCGTAATTGTTTGTCCCCCAGACCTCAAAAAATACTTTTTTCAAGTTCCCCTGGGTATTACAATCGCCCCAAGAGAAACTGAGCAAAATTTCGGCCGGCGGGTGAACACGACCTCTACCAACTCGTGACTTGTAAAGTGTAAATGTAGATAGGAAAGCTCTTGAAACCGGGTTTATTCAATGAACACTTTGAAGTGTACATATTTTATATTAATTGTGCTCACCAGGTGCGCTCCTCACTTAATTCACCCTACATTCCCTCAGTATTTTGCCATTGGGAGTGATTGGGGAGAGGGGGAGGCGATACATGTCCAGCAGCTTATTTAAACAAGACAGTGGCGGATTCAAGGGTGGGGCCCGGGACCCCCTTTAATTTTTAGACCAAACTGAGGCCCAAAGCCCTGAAGGGACCCAATTTTTTTTTTTTTGGGGGGCAACACCACCCCCCTTATCTCACGGTCTGGAATAAAAATAAGCAGAATATCACCAAACAAAACATTCATGTTTCTAATAAATCCCCTAGCGGAAATGCTAAAATACAAAAAGTAACAGCAAAACTTGTATTGGAATGCTTCGAAAAAAGAAAGAGGAAGACGGCAAGAAGTAAATACTCTAGGACTTAATTAATTAATAACTTATTAGCCATATGGAGTGCCTTTCACATGACGTCACGGCGACCATATTGGTGTCCCAAAACAATGAAACGGCGGCCATGTTGGTGTCCCAAACCAATCGTGTGGGAGTTGAACTCTTTTCTTATGCAAACTCTTTCTTTTGTTCCAACAAATTTGCATAGATGCTGGCCACGTGAGTGAAAACACTCTATATGGTTAGGAATTTTTGATGTGTGTAATTTTAGTTATTTGGAAATAGTTGATATACTATTTATTGTGGAGGACTCCAAATAAAAAAAAAAACATTTAGATGTAATGATCGGGGATCCTCCTTATGTCAATGTCTGGATCCGGCACTGCAAGAAAATATTTTTGCATAAGAAAAAGGTTCAACTCTCCAGAACTGGTTCGGGAAACCAACACGGCGAACGTAACGTCATACTAACACACTCAAAATGCCGTCACATTCACCCACTGGAATTTTTGTGTTGTTGTTACCAAGCTCAAAAACAAAATTCCAACAGGCATATGTGACAGCCATACGCGTATGCTGGAATGAATTCACCCCTAGAAAAGTATTTAAGGATTCTGGTCAATAAAGGCAAGGTCACATTCTTATGTTCCAATGTTGCGGGCTCCTGCTTCAGCGAGGTGTATTTCAAGGGCTTTACTTGCTTAGTTTGAGGTGGGTACAAATTTGATAAATACTGCAGCTAGCTGTATGAAACAATTTCTAATATAAACACCAAAGCATGGTTATTTATTTAAATTTTTTCTCAGAAGAAACGTTGGGTTGTTTTCAAATTACGTTACAATGTAAAGAGACAAAGGCTAAGGTGGAACGGTACAATGTTTTATCTAGACTGGCTTACAATCTTCTTGCAAAAAACTAATAAACAAACAGAACAAATCCAAAACAAGGAAATGTAATGTTTTCTTCCTCAATTTTGTATGAAAAGTTACAGTTACGAGTGAAGAGCACACTCCAGTACTGAATTGCTGCAGAATTTGCCACCTCTCCGTTATGAAAAGTGCCAAAATCCCGCCTCGGGTCCTCCACAATTTTCCTGAAACAAAAAAATAACAAATTTAATTAATTTTGAACATGACTAGATTGACTTTCTCTTTTCTTCTGGTGTGGTGGGGAGCTAAATTTGCTTCTTTGGAGTGCGGTAAAAGCAATTTTTCTTTTGCGTTTTTGTGAAGACAAACAATTTAATTTTTCGTCCCTTAAGAATGAAGAGACACGTGCACTGAGTGTTAACTGCATAAATAGAAGCGTCTGCCTACAATTCTACGAATACAACAGCACGTGCGACATCAGCATGTTAAAGGTTGTTTAAATATCACCTGCCAAAAGGTACCGAGATTTCAAAAAATGCATAATCGTTTATCTTTTTAAGGCGCCTTAAATTACTTGGATATCTTTTGAATTCACGCATATGCTATCTAGTGCGTTAAGAAGGGCAAGACTAATGTATGGAACTGCAGACCACGAAACTGTAAAAGAAAAGCGCAAGATTCGCCATTTTCTAGCTCTTGCAACTATGGCAACAAATCCCATCATCCCATCAGGCAACTCCTTGAGTCCACGGCATGCGTGAAAACGCGCGTGTACATTCTTTCTCTGGAACAAAAGATGATGGCCTAAATGGTATGTTTAAGTAATGATCCGGGTAAGGTGGATAGCAAGTTCCTTTCTTATGCGGCAACGGTGCTTTCCCCACATAGGAATGTTCTCATTTTTACACAGAGAATGCATAAACCTACATGAAGTCCGTTTACGCAATAAAATGCATTTACACTTCACTTTGAAAGGGTGTTTTTTTGTGTCAAAAGATTTTGACCAATCACAATAGATGAAAACAATAGCCAAGAAAACTTTACAATTTTACATGTTCCCCGCATAGGAAAATAGTTGGAAAGTAAGGATGAATATATGTGCTGCTTTATGAAGTTTTGTCAACTTTTGCTGTTTAAGCCAATCAGAAGTAAGTACAGACAATAGAAAAGTTAGCACCTTTTTTGCATTCCAACATGTTCGTTGCCGTAACTTGCTATCGTTCTTACCTGGACCGTTTCTTGAACTTTGTAGCGGATTCTTCCGCTGTCATTTACATTTTTCAGGAGCTGAATATTTAAATGCATAGAGTTCATAACGCTAGAGAATATGAAACTAAGAAGGTTAACTGAAACAGGTCTTTTATATGTAATTTAGGGGCGAGGTATTCTACACTGAAAAGGCGCGAACTTTGACGTCAACCCTTTAAGCCTAAGTTCCGTGAACTGAGAGAGAAGTGAGGGAACTGAGGTATGTATATACAACGTTAGTACAAACTATGGAGCAAAAGGCAAAGAATGAGTAAGAATGGCCAAGTTTAACGACAAGACTCGATCACTTTTTCATGTACAACGTGGTCAATGTAAGAAATCGATCTGAATAAGTCGTCAACTAACAACACAACCCTGTGATCGATTTGATACAACAGAAATGAGTTCTAATTAACGAAGAACACAATTCCAAGATCAGATAACACGTACGTACGTTGATCTATTTTCCAATGAACCTATAAAACAGTTCCGCAGGGTAGATGTCATTATACCACGATGGCAAAAATTCAAAAGGATCATGCCATATCAATCAACTATTCAGTAAGCTTAAGACGTAAAATATATGGTTAAAGCGAGAAATAATCTTGCTTAGCGATCCACGCGATACCCACTTTTGAGCATTTTAAGCATCTGTTCTAAGAAAAAAGCTTAATCGCAGGTTAGCTTTTCGTTAGCTTTTCACGGCCGCCCAAAACAGACCAAAAATCTCTATGTATTAGTGCACTCAAACTTTGTTTGCTTCTTATTTTTATCATTGCATTTGACAGGGGAAGGAGTATTTAGTAAAGGGGAATATTATGTATTCTGAACATTAAACGGAAAATGTATAAAATAGAACGGTTTACGGATACGTTGTACAATCCATTTCCCTGATTGTGTTGAAGTTTTAAACCCAAAAAGGCTCTACTCATTGTAATAATATTAGTATAAGAATTTAAAGGCTTATACCGATCCCGCAAGAACCAAATGCAAGTTTGAATGTTAAAGAGAACCTCACCCTAATCCATGAGTGTTCCGGGTTATGGTACCTATTAGAATACACAAGTCATGTTTATTACATAACGCTGTACTTCTTGGAATCCAATTCAATTATTTGGACCAATTTACTGGTGACAGTGGCAGGTACTTTATGGAAAAGAGGAAATATCAGAGATTGTTAGTGTTGGACCCACGTTTAATTGTTTGAAAGTCTTTTAAGACTTAAAATTGAGAGCTACTTTTTTTCGTATCTCCACAATATAGAACTGCATGATGGAAGACGGAAAGAAAAAGATGGTAAAAAAAATTGAGGAAAAACTTGAAAAGGTCGTCGAAAGTGTGGCAAGCAAAGAGGTAATTACATTCAAAACCAAACTATTAATAGTAATCATACAGCAACGAAAAAACACAAAAAAATAATTTATCTGACAAACAACAAAGGTGTTATCAATGTGTAAGGAAATGACTTAATTATCCACTG